ATGTCTGCCACTTAAATGGTTTGGATGGCTTTAAAAAAGGATTTGATCAATTCACAAAGTGGCTACTAGCCATGATGGCTATGCTCTGCCTCCAGAGACAACAATGCTTCTGATGGAAAGCATAGGAAGGGGAGAGGGCCCTTGTGCCTGAGTCCTGCTTGCTGATTCCTCATAGTCATCTAGTTGGCCACTGTGAGAACAGGATGCTGGACTAGATGAGCCATTGGCCTGATCCAGAGGCTCTTCTTATTTAAGTTTGCTGCCTTTGGGATGTGCAGCTTAGAGAGGGGTTGGGGCAATGTGCTGTGAGGGGTGCAGGCATGTTAAGGGTGCCCAGTATCTGAGTATGGCTTGCTATTATGATGACGGTGATTATTATTTATATCCAGCCCATCTGGTCCTGCAGGAAAAGATTCCTGTTCTACCATCCACCAGGATGCTCCATTCAGCTGTCCTGTTCTTCTGCCACACACACACACACACACACACACACCTGTCATGGACCAATCAGCCAGGATTATGTGGCCCCAGAGCATTCTCAGCCCTTATTGGTGGAAAGCATTGCTAAAGATAAAATAATCAAACATACAGAAGAATAAGCCCTGCTGAAACAGAGTCAGCACGGCTTCTGCAAAGGAAAGCCCTGCCTCACGAAACTATTAGAATTCTTGAAGAGTGTCAACAAGCATATAGATAGAGATGATTCTACTGACATGGTGTCCTTGAAGTTTTGAAACGTACCTCACCAAAGACTCCTGAGTTAGCTTCGCAGTCAAGGAATAAGAGAAAAGGTCCTCTTGTGGATCAGGAATTGGTTAAGTGACAGGAAGCAAAGGTTAGGAATAAATGGAGAGTTCTCTGAATGGAGAGAAGTAGAAAGCAGAGTCGCCAAAGAATGCAGAAGGCTCTTCTTACATTCTTAAAGGTTTTTGAAGGGTTTTTCAAGATTTTTTTTTTTGTGTGTGTGTGTGTACTTCTGCAAACTTGCTAATATCTCCCACTTGGTTTGGGGGGGGGCATTTTACCACCTGAGCCATCACATGCAGACCTGCCCATCAAAAGTAGAGGGGAAAGTGGTTTCCACAATGAGATGTTGCTATTGTGAACGTTTCTGTTTAGAGGGGGGAGGGGGTACCATTCAGACACCCAAGAAAAACCATCATCTAGTGTTGAATCCCCCTGAAGTCTTTTTCCAAGGTACTCAAGACAATTTACAATCACACTCTCAGTACATAATCTCAGTAAAAAAATAAAGATAAAACCATTTTAAAAATAACCCAATAATCTAAAACAGATTTTAAAAAACCACAAATCCAGTCAGCAACAGCATCAGCAATTAAATCCTAAACTATTTCTCAACTGTGGAAAAGCCAGCAGAAATAAATTAAACCTCTTCTTTAACACGACCCTGTTGCTAGTCCACATGAAAGCTTGTTTCAGGTTGCCTACCAACATTGCTTAGTAATCAAGCTAAACCCCTTAAGAGCTTATTTTTCTACAAATAATGGAGGAATTTACTGCTGGCAGAGGGGGGAGGGGGGCAGGGACAGGTTGCTTATTTAGGAAAGCAGCAGGCTAGGAGGGGAAGCTGACATTTCTCCCTTTCTTCTTGGCAAGTTGGTAGCAGCAGATACATTTATTTATTTTTTATCATTTCTTATACACCCTCCATTTAAAGCAAGCTGCTTCTCTCAAGGAATCCCAAGAACTGTAGTTCACCCCTCAACGCACCTTTAACCAACTACAATTCCCAGGGTTCTTTTTTTGGAGATGCTTCAAATGTAGGGGGCCTACTCAGCCAGAATTGGCTGTGGGGACAATATTTTTTCTCTCCACAAAGCCCTTCTCCCCATTGACAATCCTAACAAGACCATGTGCCAGCCCCCTGACCTTCTTCTTCCTCTTCCTCCTCCTCCTCCTCCTCCTCCTCCTCCTTCTCCCTGGGGCTCCCTGTTCAGCTGCCTTTTGAAGCTCCCCCATTTCAGCTGGGAGGCAAGGGGTGAGCAGTTGCAATGGGGCAAGGAGGGATGGGAAGGGTGGGGAGAGGAATAAATTGGATTCAGTTTACAGTCTTGCCTATCAGAACTGAACTTTGCAAAACCAGAAGCTAACCAAAAAAAGCCGTCTGCCCCATTCCAAGCCGCCTTTCCCCTTCGCTGGGCCCACTTTTTTGGAAGGCTTCCCGCAATGCCCACCCTCTGGTTTTTTTCCAGAAAACTCCCGTGTGGAGAAAGTTGTCATCTGCGCGTGCGCATGGGACACATCTCAAGCGGACACACCTCCGCAAAGGGACGGCGCCCGGCGGATTTCAAGTTGGAGGGGAGCTGGTTGGAGGGGAAGCGCGTCAGACGGGGAGAATTTCTCAAGCGGCCACTGGATCTGCATGGATCGCGACTAACCTCGCGGGCACTCGGCTTCAAGTACCAGCAGCAGGCCGAGGAAGCGGCCGGGTGTCCACAGCCCAAGCGAGGCAGCCCCATTGCACTCAGTGGGCCTCGCCTCTGTAGGACCAGACATTCTGGGATGGGGCTGTGATTTTCACCCATGGCAGAAGAGTGCGCTCATCCCCCAGGATGTTAGCGCTAAAGGTTGCCAGGAGAAATTTGCTCTTTTGTGACAAAAATCCCTTGCAGCTAAGAGAGAGAGAGAGAGAGAGAGAGAGAGTCTCATGACACCTTAAAAGACGAATAAACGTGTCGTGGCAGAAGTTAATCAATCACGCAATCAATTAAGATCTAACGACCAGTATTCAAAAAAGAAACTTTGCCCAGATATATTTTGGCCCCTGCTGAAAGCATTCGTGTTCAGACATGCCTACCCAGACACTTTGAAAGTAGATGTGAATTTCAACCTGTTTCAGCATTTTAACTTTTTGTATGTTTTAAACTATTGTTGTAAATCTTTATTTGATTTCATTGTTTATTCCTTTTGCAATGCGTTTTTCGAGGGTTGGGGGGTTTTTTTTACACTCAAGCAGCGTATAAATTTTATGAAATAAATCAAAAGCATAAGTATCGAATAACACCAAACGAAACGAAACAAACAGAGAGACCCGTAACAATAAAATGACTCGCGACAGTCTCCTGCTGCAGAACTCCAGGCACAGAAAGGAAAATGACAAGTATGTTGAGATTCGTCCCTGGAAGCAGCACAATGTTTAGCTCCCCACCCCCTCAAAAAAAAAGAGAGAGGGAGGGAGGGAGGGGAACAGCATCAAATTGTCCCCGTGATCGTCTAGGTAAATTTTTGCTAATAGGGTTCAAGAAAAAACTTTGGTATGGAGCAATGCAGAAGAACGTGAGTTGTCGAGTCAACCTCTCCTGATTCACAGGGACATTTTTTAAACCCCGCCCCCCGAACTGCAGACGCCCCCCTAAGAAAAGGCTCTGCGAGGTTTGGGGGCAGGTGCAGGGGAAGATCTAGGGCTGACGCACTCTGCAAGTGAGCCGGTTATCTGAGGTTAAGGCCGAATCCGGACCGCGTCCAGCGTCTGCACTGCTTTGTGCGAAGGTTGCTCCGGCCAAGTCCCGTCCCGTTGGGACAAGGAGAACAGTATCTGAAGAAGTGTGCATGCACACGAAAGCTCATACCAATAACAAACTTAGTTGGTCTCTAAGATGCTACTGGAAGGAATTTTTTTATTTTGTATAGAATAAAAGAATGGTAGAGTTGGAAGGGACCCTGAGGATCATAAAGGTTCAGGTGGGCTTGAAGCAAGCGACAAAAGCGTGTCATTTGTTGGTCTTTTTTTGGTGCCACGAGAGAAGACGCGTGCGTGGGTTTTCCTCGGGGATTTGTCTCTCTAATGAAACAAAATCTCATTTTCCGACAGCTCCCAAGATCAGCTTTTGAGGGTTTTTATTTTGCTCCTCAAGGAGTGCGTGCGAGAGAGATTTGATCAATATGATTCTATGCCCCTTTCCATTCAAATGAATCCCAGTGCGGCTTACAAACGAGAACAGAAACATTAGAACATAATAGAACATCACAAATACACCAGGAGTCCTATAGAATTATTATTATTATTAATTTATTTGTACCCCACCAGTCTGAATGGATTGCCACAATCATCAGCCAAACAATTGCAATCTATAAAGCACTGTTAACAAAGCAACAACTGAAAAAAAATAAGCCAAACATCCCGTTTAAAGCAATAGTGCATATTATTATATGTTTAACCAATCAACGCAGCATAATCTGTGCAACAATATTAACAAAATAGCAACCGAAAGAGAAATTGTCAAGTTCCCACACCGTTCTCCCGACTCATAATCTCCCACTCGATTTAGCTCATTAAAATCTACATCCCCCTAATGCCCGTGGCAGCAGCTCCCTTCTGGAGGTTCCTGGGGCTGCAGGTGGGGCAGCAAAGGAGAAACCAAGCACACCCCCTCCATGGCAAACAGAGTCCCTCTCCCTCCCCCGCCACACATAGAAAGTGACCCCCGCCAAGGGAAAAGCTCAACGGGCACGAGTCCCGTCCAACTTCCTCCAGCCCAAGGCCAGCAGGACCAATGGTTGGAGCTGAGGGGAGCCAGAGTCCCTAGGAGCCCTTTGCCTGGCTGATCCCGGGCTGGCGAGGGATGCCGAGGCCGGTGGAGGGAGGGGATCCAAGCGGAGCCGAGCGCCCCCCGCCCCACTTGCTTCGCCTGCCCCTGCCGCTCGTACAGCCCGCCCCCCCAAAAAGCGTCTCTGCACCCAGACGCGACTGCATGGTCCGCGTGTGCGTGTGAATGTATCTACACGCGTCTATCCTTTTCTCTCACTTTCTCACTGGACGCGCAGACTTGGAAATCGGAGGGGGTGGGTGGGTTACAAACACCACGACCTCCTCCGCCCCCCGCCATCCCCGGGCCGAGCCACCTCGGGCGCCCCGGGCTCCTCTCCTCGCACGGCGCATGCGCCGCCCTCCCGCCCTCCCGCTCCCCGTTGCCCCCTCCCCCGCAGCTGGGCGGCAGAGCAGAGCGGAGGGCTCCGGCGGCGGCGGGGGAGGCGAGGCGATGGCCGGGGAGAACCAGCAGCGGAGCCTCCGCAAGAGCATCGCGGCGCAGCAGCAGCAGCCGGCCCCTCCCGCCCGGCAGGAGCAGCCGCAGCCCCCCGGGAAGACCCCCCAGCAGGGCGGCGGCGGAGGGAGCGGCAGCCGGGCGGAGGGCGCCGCCCCCCCGAGCAGCCCCGCCGGCGCCGCCGAGAAGGTCGCGCTCAAGAAGGAGATCGGGCTGGTCAGCGCCTGTGCCATCATCATAGGTCAGAGTTGGGGTCGGGGGAGAGGGAGGGAGGGAGGGGGTCGCCTCCCGGGGAAGGGGGCGTCGGGCAGAAACTCCGAGGAAAGTCTGTGCGGGAGGGACGGGGGCTCCTCGAAACTCTGCCCCCCCCCCACCTTGAGATCTATCTTGGCTCAAAAAGTAGGGGTTTGGCTGGGGGGGGGGGAGTCGGAGGATCGCGCCCTGAAAAGCAGGGATCGGGTGCTCTCCCGCCCTTCGCTTTCTCCTGCGTTGTGGGGTGGGAATGGGGACCGGATCCGAGCTTCCTGGAGTAACGTCGGTGGCAGTGCCAAGCTTCCGCGGATTCCGGGCACCTGCTTCGCGGCAAACGCCGGTGGCACCTGTAGCCTACCAAAGGACTTTGTTGGTGGGCACGTGTGAATCGCTGCTTTGCCGTCCGTATGGATCGTGGTTTTTGTCCAGCTTGCCTTCCCAAAAGCTCAGGGGGCATCCTCGTTTCTGTTTCTCTGCCGCCCCCCATGCTGTCCTTACAACGGCCCTTTCTAGCTGGTTTGAGAGGGAGGGAGAAGACTTCAGGTTGAGTTTGGAAGAGTGAGCTTCCTCCTGATTTGAACCCATGTCTCCTTGGCCTTAATAAGTCAGACACTCTAACTACTATGCCACACTGCCTCTTTGGAGATCCGGTTTTGAAAGTGTCCAAGTGACAAAGTGCATTGTCCTGTGCACTTTTATCACCTGTGAGCAAGTGTGCCCTGCTAATGTGCATTACTGGTCCACCTACCTGCATTAAGAAGAAATCCCCCATCCCATCCCAAAAGCAAATGCCACGTTCAGTATATATCCGCTCCCCCCCCCCCCCCGCAAGCCCAGGTCCACAGCAGGAAAGAAAAGGGTTAAATCCTCCCTCATTGTGTGCCCTGATCCTATTAATTACCACACACCTCCAGCTATTTGCTTTTTTAAATATAAAAATAATCCTGAATTTTTGCATTCTCTTTAACCTGTGGTTTGGCCCTGAGGGATGCTGGCCGTCGTGGGAACTTTGGTGTCCCAGAGGAAGGAAAATCCAGCTGCTTTTGTTGAGATGCCAGACACCTCCCTCTACCAAATCCAAAAGATAGGACAGGACTTCAAGAAATACACCAGGATCCCAAACTGGCTTCTCTTCTAGTATGTGCATCAAAACAGATTTAAAAACAAAACACCACAGCTTATAATTTTAAATCTATTCAAATCCCTCCATTTTAATAGAATTCAATACTACTGGAGAAGTGGGCAGGGGTGCTAACTTGGATAAAATATTGGGGGGGGGGCAGGTAAGTGTCCGAGTGACCTGCCCCACATAATCGATCACAAGATGCAACACACACAAACCCCATTTGAATGACAATGCTTATCAACTTTGGGGGACGCCTGGCCCCCTCAAATATTATATTGTGGAAAGCAGAAGGGACCTTGGTTCCTAGTGGGGGCTTTTGAGGAATGGGACGAGGAAGAGAGAGGTCTTTCCTCCCTGGCCCTCCTCAATACTTCATCCACTAGGTGCTGGGATCCAAGAGAGACCCAGTCCAAAGGGCTCTGGGGTCACCATGCCAGGCTCTCTGGTGAGTCTTCTCAGCTAGCTGCAAGCTCAGGTCTGAAGCCAAACACCAGACATCGGAAGCAGCTTTGCCTTGAGCCCGGCTTCGGCTGGGGAGGGCGGGATATAAATAAAAAAAATTATTATTATTAAGTCAGATTCCAGTACAGATTTTCCCCCTTGTGAATATCATTTTTATTTTTATTTTAACAAAGTAATAATAATAAAAAATAAAAACGTGCACCCCAACCCCCGAGACCGTTCCGTTGCAACTATCTAGCCTCCCAAAATTTCAACACCTCTTGCCAGGCATCCCCAAACTCGGCCCTCCAGATGTTTTGGGACTACAACTCCCATCATCCCTAGCTACCAGGACCAGTGGTCAGGGATGATGGGAATTGTAGTCCCAAAACATCTGGAGGGCCAAGTTTGGGGATGCCTGCCTCTTGCGATGGTTTGACCCCTTTCTGTTTTAATGAGATTCCAGCACAGTATTGTCCACTCTGACTGGCAGTGACTTTCCAGGGTCTCAGTCACGGGCTTTTCTCTTTCCCCATCACTGGCCAGGGACCTTCTTCCCGCTGAGCAAAGGATAAAAGGGTCTGGAAACCAAGCCTTATGAGGGACAGCTGAGGATGTTGGATAGATTTAGCCTGGAAAAGAAGAGGCAGAGAGAGGTTGGCATGATAGCCGTCTTCAAATATCCAAAGGGCTGTCACATGGAAGATGGAGCAAGCTAGTTTTCTGCTGCTCCAGAGGGTAGGACCATGAATGGATTCAAACGACAAGAAAGGAGATTGCGACAAAACCTTAAGGAGAACTTTCTGAAAGTAAGAGCTGTTTGACAGTGGAACGGACTCCTTCGTTGCAGGTTTTTGAATAGAGGTTGGGTGGGCCATCAGTCAGGGATGCATAAGTTGTGATTCCTGTATTTCAGGCCGTTGGACTAGATGATCCTCAGGGTCTCTTCCATCTCTATAATGCTATGATTCCATAATTCAACCATTGAGCTTGGTCCTTCCCACCTGTGGCCAAAGACTGGATGGGGATCAGTCTGTGTGGGTTTGTTTTCAACCCAGGAGCAGCTGCATCCAAGATGAAGCTGGTCTATTATGGGTCTATTATGGGTGGAGAAGGGAGGAAGCCCCCCACCCTCTGATCCCAAACTCCTTGCAATGGCCTCCTTGCAATGGTCTCCTGAACTTGCAACAAGGACAGTGTGGTGTAATGGAGAAGAGTCGTGCATTAGGAATGGGGAGACCCATGCTCAGAGCCCTGCTAGGCCACAAAGCTCACTGGGTGACATTGAGGGCCAGTCACACTCTCTCAGCCCAACCTGCCTCATAGGGCTCTTTCAGAGGAAACGAGGGGGAATAGGAAGCTGCCTTACACTGAGTCAAGACCGTTGGTCCACCTAGTGCAGTATTGTCTACACTGGCTGGCAGCAGCTCTTCAGAGTTTTGGGCAAGGAGTCTCTCCCAGGCGTCCCTGGATATATGCCCCAACCATATAGACTTGCATGCAGGACCATTGCCCTGGCTCCAGTACACTCCCACTGCTGCTGCATGAAGCTGAAGACCCATGGGTGCTAGCCACAATCCATAAACAATCTGTAATTTCTTGAGGAATACTCCTGATGGATTTGTTTCCCCTCAAACCAGCTCCCGTCCAATTTGAAAACACACACTGTGGCTAAGCTGAGGTGCGCACAGTTTGGACAGTTGTTGAGCATGTGCAGATGATGGCTTCCTTGAATCGGAGTTTGTGGGGGTTGTTGCAGGCATGGGGAAAGGAGTCAAGTAATGTGCATCAAAGGAAGATTCTCTGGTGCGCAAAAGAGACTTGAAGTGCAGGGCAGGGGGAGGGAAAAGGACTTTGCTGTGTTTTAAGCTGCCAGGGTGGATATAGCTTAACTGCTGGTTTGGAAAGGAGTTTGCAAAGTGATGGGTGATTAAGGTGGGCCCACTGTTCCTGCTCGGTCAGAGCCTAAGGCGGGGGAAAGTAGAATTTAAACCAAACGTGTCCTCTAAAAGTTCAGGAGACGAAAGGAGTCTTTGCTGTGTGCTGGAAGCCTATCAGTGCTGTGGCCCCTCATGCCTCCAAGGCGAGGGAGCTGCACAACTGGGGTGCTGCCACCGAAAAGGCCCTGCTCCAGAGTATATGGAAATTTTATGCAAGTTGGCCCATTTTGCTCTCTGTTGTGGCAATGCCTTCCCGCTCTTTGAGGATGCATAAGTTCTGTGGGCGTGTTCTGAATTGAGCCCTCATAGGGCTTGTGTCGGCAGCAAAAGCTCTGTTTTCTGATACATCGAAAGCAGACATTGCATGGTTTGTGGGGAAACTCATGTTTTCTGCAGACAATAGTTTTTCCAGACCATATGTGGCACGGTATGGTTCACCACACACTGGGAAGGAAAGATGTCAGAGAGTGTAAGGGAGAGTTGTGTGAACACAATGTTCATTCACATGACACGAAACATCTGGAGTAAGCTGGTGTCTCCCTCTGTGCTGTGAGAAGTTCCAGTGTCTCATTTCCCAGATTATCCACTGATGATGATATACCATATTGTTAAAAGCAGAAGGGACCCAGGAACAGTCCAGGCCTTGGTCATTTGGGAGCCCTACCTGTAACATGCAGACCCAGGAGAGTGTGGTCTGGGTCATGTGATTGCTTCACATGGGTCGACAGCTGAATTGCCCACTGTTGTGGACTGCCTAGGCTGAGCTGTGGCTGGACGTGGTTCAGGGTATGCCGAGTCTCCGAGTCTTTAGCATATCCTCTCGTCCTTAAAACGTCCTTTTTCTTAAAACGTCCTTTTTTGCTCCCATTAGGACCAAAAGCTTTTAAGCAGCAGCTTAGGGAAAGCAGGGCTTCTGCATCATCCGAGGGAGGGAAATGAACAACAGGACTGGGGCCTATCAGGAATAGTAATCATCACCATCACTGCCACCTCTTTGAGTGACAGGAGCTTCCCAGGGTTTCTAGCAGAGGTGGGGATGGGGCAGAGATTTTGATTCAGTTTGCTTTGAACAGCATACCTAGGAAACCCACATGAGAACCAAAACACAGTCAGGCTGTGAAAATAAATTAGAAAGATGCAGTCTAAGAGGGGGTGTTGCTTGCAAAAATGAGTACGTCAGTCAAAACTGCAGACCAGAATGTGTCTGTGCTGAGAAGTTGGAACTGAAATGCAGGTGAGAGAGTCTTTCCTATCTCTTGCAAGGAGCTGCCGCTGCTCCCTTGAAAGACACCCTCGCGGAAACCTTCCTGACTAGCAGCTCACCTCTGAGGTCCCAAAATGAGCCACACAGAAAGAAAAAGAACAAGGAGCTCTAATTAAGAGTTTCCTGGCAAGAGGAAAGGGGGAAAACAAACCAACATACATCACCATTTTCCTAATTGAGTCCCCGGAGGACACAGAAAACCATTTTTCTTGTCCATCCATGTGCCTTCCTGCCACAGCTGATCTTCGTCCAACATCAAAGACCCTCATCCTGGGTACAAAACCAAGGGGAGGGAGGGAGAAAGGAGTAGCCACCAACATATTCAGGGGAAGAATGAAGTGGTTTCTGATGGCGAGGAACAGGTTGACCTGCCCATGTCACTTTCCTCTTCCTCTTTGTGGGACACAATGGCATTCAGTCCTGGGAATATTAATTATGACCCCCTTTTTTGTTGTTCATTCAAAATATAGTTAACACCGCTGTGTCAGGGTATGGAGATATTTTGCATGGGGGAAACCGAGGGCAACCCAATGTGATGTGTGGAGATGTGTGTGATATTAGTATTATGATAAATAAAGATGGCTGCCTGCCACGGATGCTTTTGTTTTTCATTCCTGGATTGCAGCGGGTTGGGCTAGATGACCCTTGGGGTCCCTTCCAACACTACAATGCTTTGATTCGAATAACAATATTATTAGCAGGCACGTCAGAAAAGAGGGAGGGAAATCCGACGAACCCTGCTTCCTGGCTTACTATTTAATGGAGGCAACCAAAGGAATAAATAAGAACACAATTTGTTACCTTTCTGTCGCAGGGAAGCCAGGCATCTTTTCTGACAGAGGCTTTTTTCTTGAGAGCTTGACAGAGCATAGTGGTTACAAGCGTAAGCTGTGTAGCCCAGCAAGGCTCTGAGCTAAATTGTGCCTCAAATATGGACTTAGGAGGTGACTCGGTGCATGCCAGAATCTCTCAGTTTCACCTCCCTCTCCAGAAACACAGCAAAATGGGAATACAGTAATAATACTGACATACCCACCCCTTCATTTTAAGACTGTTTTATATATATTTTTCAAAAAAAGGGAACCAATGAGACATGGATTTCTGCATTTTTTAAAAAGTTTGTTGATAAAAGAAAACATCGACAACGAACAGTGTAACGATCCAGACGACTTTCAAGAGCATTTTTGTAGGACAACTTACAGCTGTGTGAACTTGCCATCACTTGTGCAACGCAGTGAAAATCTAGCTCAGATCAAATATTTTAATGTAACATGTGACTCATTTCATACATCACACTAAACCATAGTTTGCTCTAACCGTAGTTTAGAACCCAAGCAGGCCATGACTTGAGGTTCCAAACATACATGGTTGAGAGCTTCTTGTCTGCTTTGATTCCCCATCTGCTCAGCAATTTTGTTCCTCTGACACAGGCAAGCCTCTTGGAGGGGAAACAACCACCATAGTTTTGGTTTGCCAATTCGCACATCTAATGAAACTGAGTGTTGGGGAGATTCGGTTGCTGGAAATCACAGGAGGGGAGAGGCCTCTTGTGCTCAAATCTCACTTGCTGGTTTCCCACTGCGAGAACAGGATGCTGGCCATTAGCACAACCCAGTGGGCTCTTCTTCTGTTTTTATGACATTAAGCTAAACCATCATTATCACAAACCATGGTTTAAAGACACACACACTCCCGCCAAGCCTAGTTAGTGATGCTGGTCTGCTGGCACACCGCAATTTGCCTGTACACGACAGAGCATGAGTTCTTTTCACTTTTTCAGTGGATGTTCATAGGGATTGTGAGAGCAGTCCCTACTTCCAACCAAGCATGAGCCAAACCCTGTGGTAGCACATGGGGCTCTCTCCAAGTGACTGGCTTCCCCCACTTTTCAGGATTCTTTGTCGTACAGGCCCCTGCGGTCCTCTCCCCCTTGCTCTGTACGGATCGGGTTCCACTTTGCAATTTTATTGATGGCTGGGGCTGATGGGAGTTGTAGTCCAAAACATCTGGACAGCACTAGATTGGCAAAGGCAGCCATAGCTTGCTTTTCCCTGCTTTTGATTCCATACTTGATTCCATATTCAAAGTAGTTTTGCTTTGTGTACAGCAACCTCTTAACATGTCTTCCACATCCAACATCCATGACTTCTAATGGAGACGAAGCTGTTTTGAAGTCCCTTTTCTTGTGTGGTGAAAGCGTCTCTATATTTTTCTTTCTTGGGGGTAGAGCATGAAACGTAGGAAGATGCCTTACACCAAATCAGACCATTGGTGCATCTAGCTGTATTGTTTTTAACACTCAATTGGGAGCCGCCCAGAGTGGCTGGGGAAACTCAGCCAGATGGGTGGGGTATAAATTATTATTATTATTATTATTATTATTATTACACTGACTGGCAGCAGTGGCTCTCCAGGGTCTCAGCAGGGAACTGTCTCCCAGCCCCGCCTGGTGATACTGCTATTGGGAATTGAATTTAGGTGAATAGCAGGTGCTCTGTCACTGAGTGACAGCCATTTCAACAAACGTCCATAGCCATGTTTGTGTGTTGTGCTTAAATAGTACAAGAATATTAAACACGTGATGAAAAGATTACAGTACGTCCTAATGTTTTGTCTATAGAATCCAATAATGAAAATACGCATCAATATTGAATGGACAACTAATCAGTGGGCTGACCTTTTCACTGGCCAGTTCTGACCTTTTATAAGTGAGGCCTTTGGGATAACTTGGTTGCTTTGCATTCTGCTCATTTATTACTTTTATTTGTTCATTGCATATATACACCACATTTTTCTCCAAGGAATGTATGGTTATCCCCTTCCTCCTTTAATCCCCAAAACAACCCCGCGAGGTAAGTTAGGCTTGTAAATTATTCATAGCTCTGAGAAACTGGAAAGAAATTTGCTGCTGTTGTTGAGAGGATAAGACCACAATTTATTTATTCATTTACATGTCATTACTTTTACTTAATACAGTGGTATCTCAGGTTTAGTACTTAATTCGTTCTGGAGGTCTGTTCTTAACCTAAAACTGTTCTTAACCTGAAGCACCACTTTAGCTAATGGGGCCTCCCGCTGCCGCTGCGCCACCGCTGCACGATTTCTGTTCTCATCCTGAAGCAAAGTTCTTAACCCGAGGTACTATTTCTGGGTTAGTGGAGTCTGTAACCTGAAGCGTATGTAACCTGAGGTACCATTGTAATAGCTTTTATAATCCACCAAGGAGCTCAAAGTGGCCCCTCTCCATAGTACATGCCAGTAACCCTGTGAAGTAGGTTAGGCTGAGAAAGAATGACTAGCCAAAGGGCACCTGTGGGGAGATTTGAACCCTAGTCTTCACCAGGTCCTTGCCCAATGCTCTAACCACTATATCGCATTGTCTTTCAAGTTCAAACACCAGCTTGATCCCTGCAACTCCTTTTCAAGTTGGGGCTGGGCAGAAAACACAAATACAACCCAGTGTGCTCCCTGCCTCGAGCGCTGAGACATCGGGCTCAAAGTCAGTATACACGTTCAGGACCACGTTCTGTGCTTCAGTCTCACCTGCCCATTTTTCAGGGATTCAGGAAGGGAGTAAGAGGCAACACAGGGCAATATTCTCCTTTATGGATGCTGAAATGAAAGGGAGTGCATACACCTGGGGCCCCGTTCTAACGCTGAATGCAAATGTGGTGTGGTGGTTAGAGTGTTGAACCCAGGAGACCAGAGTTCAAATCTCTCCACAGCTGCGAAGCTCACTTGGTGTGACCTCAGGGGCCGGTCACTTCTTCTCAGCCTAACCTAATCTATCTTGCAGGGTTGTTGTGGAGATTAAATGAGGAGGAGGACAATATATGCCATCATGAGCTCCTTGGAAGAAAAGGGAGGGTTTAAATGCAACAGATAAATAAATAAATTGTCATGGAGGTTAGGAAAGATGGGAAAATATAATATATTTGCTGCAGTCGGACCACACCCTAGTTTTAGCACAACAAGCAAGCCTGAGTCTGAGGCTCATGTTCACCTGCCTTCCTCCTCCCCTTATCCAAACAGGCAAACTATGGTTTGCACTTGCCTGTCTCACAACCATGGTTTGTTGTTACGTCTGAATGCAGCCGGTGTGACTTTTGCCTTGAAGACTAACAAATTAGCATGAAAAGGACCAGTTTGACACTCACACCCCTCTGGTCCTAGTTTAAAGGCACGCAGCGGCCTTAGCAAACCATTGTTTGCTGTGCTCGGATGCTAACTGCGAATGATTCTCATTCCAACCTCTCGCATGTGATGCAAGGGAGAAGCAATGAAGGGAGGGAACTGCAAATCTGAAAGAGCCATAGACTCATAGAACTGTAGAGTTGGAAGGGACCCCGAGGGTCATCTAGTCCAGGAATCCTGCCCATAGCCGTTCCTGAGAATGAGCTGACTCTTTGTGTCACATGACCTCTATGCAAAGTTGCCCATGCATGGTTTGATATTATATCTGAAGGCACCGTATTTTTTGCTCTATAAGACTCACTTTTTCCCTCCTAAAAAGTAAGGGGAAATGTGTGTGCGTCTTATGGAGCGAATGCAGGCTGCGCAGCTATCCCAGAAGCCAGAACAGCAAGAGGGATCGCTGCTTTCGCTGCGCAGCGATCCCTCTTGCTGTTCTGGCTTCTGGGATTCAGAATATTTTTTTTCTTGTTTTCCTCCTCCAAAAACTAGGTGCGTCTTGTGGTCTGGTGCATCTTATAGAGCGAAAAATACGGTAGCTTCAATCTCCTTGCATGCATGCACATGAGCACCAGATATAAGATGTAAACAACAAAACAAGTCAGGCATACAAAAACTGGTGCAAAGGCCGCTTTGCTTGTGCCAGGAAATTAAGAGATGAAGGCTAGACCTTTAGATCACGATTTTATGTTACAAATGTTCACAATTTCTGAACCTTGAGATTTTGGACCAGACTTTCCTGGGTGCAATGTGCAATCTGAGCTGCTAAACTGTTGTTACCCATCATGGCTGCCCTTGCAAGTGTTACTTTCTGGCCTCCTCTCCTCTGGAATACAAATTGTCACCACGTAGATACTGCAACATCCATGGGTGTTTTCAGGAACTGAGGGCTTATCGGTTCCATTTATTTGGTTACAATATAATAGTTGTACATTGTTTGCTCCTGCAAATTTCTCAGGGTGAAATCTATATATATGCCAGAAGTTCAAGACAAGGCCAGATTATTGCATAAGGCTCACTGCTGACTGAGGAAGGAGGCAGGGCTGTGTGTTTCCTGGGAGCACAGAAAACTTGTTAAATACGGTTTTAGCTGCAGAATTGCATTTCTAAAAACTCCAGGTTTCCCTTGAAGCAGTGCGGAAGCCCTCACTGGCTGCATTCACAGGTAGCAGGAAGCCAGACTTTCCAGCAAATTGTGATTTCTTGTAAAGAAGCAGCAAGCTAGCCCCTGCTGCCAGATGGCGCCTGCTTTGCTCTTCCTTTGGCGCGAGTGGGATAAACCAACCATTGTGCCTTGGCTCCCCATTGAATCAAACCCAGGGACTGTGGTTTGTTTCTTCCTCACAGGCCACAATCGCTGGCCAACCTTGAGTAAAGGTTTGTTGCCAGCTGACGGGATGTGGCTTGCAAGGGAGCAACAAACTATGATCCCTGGTTTTGACATAGTAGGATCTTCCTCCTCACTCTTAACCTGGCAGAGCAGGGCACTTATACCAAGTGTCCTGGGTGGAAATCAATCCAGCAAATGTGGCTGTTGTTTCTGTCCATTTGCAAAGGATACATTCCAGAGTGCGTTTCTTTCCTATTTGCATTCTGTTTCCTTTGTAATAAGAGGCATGGGGTAGACACATTTAATGATGATGCAACTAACATCATATATGTAATAAATTGCGTCAGTTACGTAATTTTGCCACAGCAGACAGCGAGTAACACATTTTTTGTGTGGAAGGCAAACTGTGTCAGAATGGAAGCAGTGCTGCCTGCAGTGAATAGGCAGTGAGGTGGAAAATGCCTTCTCCTTTCCTTCATCTGGAGGTATCACAACCAGAGGTGTCTTGTAATATTTGATTTACCGATATACTAGCAAGGCAGAGCACTCCAGAAACTAATCTCCCTGCAGCAAGCAACAAAACCAATGACCCTGAACAGGATTCTAAGGAAGCAACTGGGCATTTGTGGATCTCCTTTCCATCTAAACTCAGAGCTCAAATCTTCCAGCTCTCTGACTCAATTTTGGACCTCACACCAAACCTTGATTAAGGAAGGCTTAGCTGTGGTTTAGTGTGCAGTCTTCATTGACAGGTGACAGTTTGCTTTGGCCATGAAACCACTTGTCGGCATGATGCTTAAATTGACAAACCACAGTTACAACCATTTCTCTGCACCTGAAGATGGGAATGCCGGGCAGTTGAAAACTGAAAGCAGACAAGGGGCTCTAAACCATGGTTTGCCTCCGTTTGGAAACTCAAGCCATGGTTTGCATTATAAATTGTGGCTAGTACAAACCATTGTTTGATATGATGTCTGAAATGAACCACTGAACGGCATGAAAAATTAGGGTGGAAACACACATAAATTATACAGGATTCAGCTTTCCTTCTTGCAGAATCCTTGTTATGATGCTCATGGGAATTCAGGAAACGAGAGTAGGAAGTAAGAAGCTTCTTAATGAATGCTGTGATTTCATTGCATAAAATGTATTGGGATCAGAACAGGTAGCTGCCAAATTTAAAAGAGGGGGCATGATCAAGATAAAGTTAAGAACTGCTGGTTTATTTCATTTCTATCCTGCCTTTTCTTTAGAGAACTTGAGGAGGTACACACAGCATTTTTGAGACAAGTCTGCTATCCAGGCCATAGCCAGGCTCCTATAGACTGAGCTTGGCTGTCTCATGCTTTCAGTGGACAGACTCTGGGATCACCTCCATTATCTTTTGGGCCTCATTCATTTCAATGGGGGATGAAACCCCTGCTTAAAGCTTTTCCACTGACATCAATGGGACTTACAGGTGCTTTGCTTTGGCTGGATCATGCCCAGCAAATTTTAAAAGGGGAATGAAACTGTGAGATGCCACTAGTTTCAATATGCTTTCTATAATTAAATATGTGCATTCGCAGTTGGGGCAGCTTTGCCAAGAGCCCGCAAGTTCCAAGAGGTTTCAGAGCTGTGCTTTGCTGCGAAAGGAACTCGCTACCTTAGCAACACATTAATATTGCAAAGGAAAATACTGCAAAAGGTTCAAAAATGCAGGGAACCCTGTGGGGAGAGATCAGCTTTGCTGTTGAGTCTGCACAGCTATTAGCCTGAAAGGTTTCTTACTTACTCTTACATAAAAGCCGCCACCATGTTTTGGAACAGGACTGCATACCCTCCAATATGTCTCCGATGAAAATAGGGACACCCTATTCCATGGGTAGGCAAACTAAGGCCTGGGGGGTCGGATCTGGCCCAGTCGCCTTCTAAATCTGGCCCACGGATGGTCCAGGAATCAGTGTGTTTTTACATGAGTAGAATGTGTCCTTTTACAGTGGTACATCGGGTAAAGTACTTAATTCGTTCCGGAGGTCCGTTCTTAACCTGAAACTGTTCTTAACCTGAAGCACCACTTCAGCTAATGGGGCCTCCTGCTGCTGCCGCGCCGCTGAAGCACAATTTCTGTTCTCATCCTGAAGCAAAGTTCTTAACCTGAAGCACTATTTCTGGGTTAGTGGAGTCTGTAACCTGAAGCGTATGTAACCTGAAGCATATGTAACCCGAGGTACCACTGTATTTAAAATGCATCTCTGGGTTATTTGTGGGGCCTGCCTGGTGTTTTTACATGAGTAGAATGTGTGCTTTTATTTCAAATGCATCTCTGGGTTATTTGTGTGGCATAGGAATTCGTTCACCCCCCCCAAAAAAAATATAGTCCGGCCCCCCACCAGGTCTGAGGGACAGTGGACCGGCCCCCTGCTGAAAAAGTTTGCTGTGGCCTATTTCATAATACAAATACTAATAATAAATAATTTTATTATTTTTACCCGACCCATCTGAATGGGTTGCCCCAGCCACTCTGGGCGACTTCCAGCCTATATAAAAACATAATAAAACATTAAACATTAAACAAACTTCCCTATACATGACTGCCTTCAGATGTCTTCTAAAGGCTGTAGTGTATAGTTACTTATCACTTGGCTCGGGGGGGGGATCGTATAACTCCATACCCTCCAACATTTCTCTGATGAAAATAGGGACATTCTAAGGAAAAGGGGGACATTCTGGGATCAAATCAGAAACCAGGACGACTTTTGCAAATCTGGGACTGTCTGTGGAAAATAGGGACAATTGGGGGTTGTGTCATGATAGACATCTTTTTGTACACAGTTTTGACCAATGTATACCTTTTTGCAAGCAATTTCCTCCACTACAATACACCATAATGAGTTTTAACATTCATCAGGCAGAGAAAGAACCTTTCACAGTGCTGAGTGAGTGGCTAAGAACGTAGGAACAACAATAATAAGAGCTCACTGGTCAATCAGGTCAATGGCCCATCTAGTCCAGCATCCTGTTCTCACAGTGTCCAACCAGATGCCTCTTCTGGGAAGCCAGCAATCAGGATTCTAGCACAAAAGCCCTCTCTTCTTCTGGGGTTTCCAGCAACAGGTATACAGAAGCATTTCTGCCTTCTTCTGTGAACCATTGTGGCTAGTAGCCATCAATTAACCTCTTGTAAGTGATGGTTGGCCTGAGAGTCGGGGTGAAGAGGGCTGCCCCTCATTTCATCTGCGCAGTCTTTGGGGTCATCTCCAGCTTTTGGAGGGCCTTTGGGCAAGTCGTTCTCCCTCAGTGAGTCCAGGGGACTCTTCTTGCCAGGGGGTTCTTCTTGGCAGACACCTGACACCAGGCCGACTCCTGACACCAGATGGGGGGGGGGGCTCTGCTGGTATTGTTTGTTTGTTTGTTTGAGCCCAGATTCCTTCTCCCGCTGCGCAGATTTGCTTGTGCCGATTGAGTTCCCTTGCATAACACCCCAGAGTGTGGCGAGGAGATTCTCCTCCGTCTGGCTGTGCGAGGCTTCGATTTCACCTAATGAAATGCAAGCCGCATCACCTCACACTGGCAAGACAGAAGGAGCAGGATGTCAGGAAGGGAAGAAAGGCAGAGGACTGGGAGGAAGTTTTGTCTGAAGGGAGGAAAAAATCAGAACAGACAAGCATGGAACGGAACACTGAATAGGATGCCCAGCTGCCAAAGACAGCCATAGTTCCTGGGCCTTGTTGAAATAAATGGGTACAACAAGGTCAGGCAGAAGGTAAATTATGCTCTGCTAGGAGACCACCTAGCGCAATGGTTCTCAAACTTTGGGGGGCCCTGTCCTCCCCGTTCCATAAACTCAGCCCCTGGGCTACCTACCTCATATTTTTTAAAAAGCATTATTCACAAGAATGGTTTGCATGACCCAATAAGGAACATAAAGACACAATTAATTCAAAACAGTAATGAATAATTGCACATTCGTTCCAAATCCATTTAAAACTCTTTAGTTTGATTAATTCAATGAAACTGAGGAACTTGATCCAGCGATACCAGCTTTTTGAAGTCTGATGGTGATTTGCCACTCGGCTGCTCCCAGTGCCCCCAGGGGGTGGTGCCACTGATTTTGGGAGCCAGTGACCTAGTGCTTGCTGGGATTCTTGCAAGTAATTCTGGGACTCACCTTGCTCAGGAAGGTGCATCTTCGCTTTGTAAGCAAAGCGCAGACCACAGGTCACTTAACGTAGGCGAGTTGTGCATCTTTTCACTGCTAAGAGATCCTCTGCTTGGCAAGCAGATCTAGTGGGTGCCTTTTCCGTACCACTGCTAAATTCTCTGCCACCTCATTTTCCTTCTCACAAGGGGATCCTTCTTCATCTCTCCTCAGTTCCAATACAGACATTAGCTCTGGAAGAATGTTGACTCTTCTCCCCATTATAGGAGGGATTTGCTGATTTAAGGGGCTTTAACTGTGATCACTTTCCCCTCCTCTTCCAGGCTTGTCAAGCTTCTTTTCTTTTCCTCATCCCTTGTAATTTCTTCTCCCGTTCACAGCAAACTTCTAACTCCTCCAGCAATTGCCGGTTTCTTTAATCCTTCCTTTTACTTGCACTTCCTCCCGTAACAGCTTCCCTGTTTTAGCCTGTTCCTTTCTATTCTCCTTTCACCATTAAATTTTTTTTAAACCTTCTGCCTCTTTCTAACGATGCACTGCAGTTCACCTGGCCCCCTCACCTTGGAGAAAGAGGTCCTCGCTCCCTGACTCTCAGCTTCCTTCCCCCAGCACACGAGGCATTAGTCCAACCCAAAGGCAGTCAAGGGCTAGGTAGGTTGTGGCACTGAGGCTCACTGTAATGTGGTCTGTGGGCCCCTGTGCTCTCCAGCAGGCCCCCACTTGAAAGATACTGACCCTGGAGTAGTTTTGCTCCTCCATCTTAAGCATATCCAGAGCTGTGGTGCTAAGATCCCTTCGGCGCCTCCCCTCCCCGGTTTCCCAGAGTTGTCAACCTTTTATAAGGGGGGGGACCCCAAAGTTGTTGACCTATTTTTTAGGGAGCTGACACCACGCTTACACATTGTCTCTAACAAGCCCTGGCTTAGAACAAATGAGAATAAAATGAAATAAAATGAAAAGGCAGAAGAAAATCCAATGAAGTCCTCAGTTCCAAAGCAAGACTCATTCAAGACCCAGCAGTTCTTCTAATTCATTCTCACGACATATTAAAAAGTTAAAGCAATCAACAGTTTGTTGTTCTTTAATTAAATTAATAAAGACACAGACAATGAAGTTCCCAGCCAATTTGTGTTTAAGTGCAAAGCTGATGTTTTCAAATATTGCGGGGGGTGGGGTGGGGGGGTTGTAAAGCAGTGACATTCTGAACCTAAAAAGGACCCAAAACTTGGGTCGCAAAGGCTGCAGCCCTAACTGCACATACTTGAGAGTAAGCCCTGCTGAATCTAATAGGACCTTACTTCTGAGAAGACAGTAGGACTGCAGCAAGAAACACAGTTGGGAATTAGGGCTTTCTCTTTTAAGTCTCAACCAGAGGAAAATCTAATATTGGAGATTAGGGAGAAAGGAATATGAATAGATTGGGGGGAGGGGGCTGATGAGAGACCAAAACCCACAGGTAGCAAGACAAGGCACACTTTCTGGGGAGCAAGCCTCACACACAGTTGCTTGGGGCGAGGACTGCAGAGGGACCATAGTCGGGCTGTGCGTGTGTGCTTTTCAGAAAAGCGTAGAATTGGAAGGGACCCTGCGGGTCATCTAGCCCAACCCCCTGCAATGCTTTTTAGCTTGCATTGATCTCAAAACCTTCAGTGCCTTTTATTTTTGTTGGATAGGCAACTAACAGGCTTGTTTTACAAATAAGGGAGAAGGAGCGTTGCTGGCTTGGTTTGGTTTGCCTTTGTTCTAGTTTTTAGCATGTGCTTAGTACCGTAGTTTCTGGCTGTGAGCTGCCCTGATATCTATGGGTGGAGGGCAGTAGTAGTACTAGTACTAGTACTAGTAATAATAATAATAATAATAATAATAATAATAATAATAATGGTGATGATATTTTTTGTAGGGCTTGGAGTGAGTGGGTGATGGCCAGCTGGTGGAATGAATGGGGTCGGTGCTAAATGGTCTGGTGTGCTTTACAACCCCTAGGGACCTTGTTGGTGGGGTGGGGTGGGGTGGCCGGAGAAGGAGCCCATCCCAGAAGAAGAAGAAGAAGAAGAAGAAGAAGAAGAAGAAGAAAAGGAGCGGAGGGAGGAGGCTTCCATTCCCTGGGATAGAGTTGCCCATAACATTAAACACAGGGCACGATTCCAGGGAGAGAGAGAGAAACCAGGGCAGCAGGTGCTGCTACTCACGGCTCGGGCTAGATAGGGGGCAAATGGGGGGGGGTGACTCTCTTCATCTTCTTCTTCCTTCCCACTTGAATTGCCCTCCTCCCTCTTCCCACAGGGCAGGTGGACGAAAGAGAGAGAGAGAGAGCGCTGCACACCAGCCAGCCATATAGTTGGTGGGGCGCAGCTTCCATCCTAAGCTTCTGCAGGGATCGCTCTCCTCCCGCAGAGGCTTGGGAAGGAAGCTGCATACCCGCCAGCCATATGGTTGGCAAGGCGCAGCTGGCGGGTGCAGGGAAAGGGGAGGCCGCCCGCAAAGCTGCGCAGCTCCCCCACTCGCTGGGGCGCCCCTGAGAGGCCAGCGCCCTGGCGCAACGAACCACTAAGCCCTATGGGAAAGACGCCTCTGTCCTCTATATCTGGGGTTCCAGGTTCTTCAGTTCCAAGACATTTCATTATAATCCTCAGCAGGGGCAACAAGTTGATCAGCCTGATCCATGAGGTGATGCCTTGCAATACTGTGGGATTGCGGAGGTGGGGGAGGGGAACGCGTGGATTTCTCATACCCCCTTTCCAAGCTTTTGTTTTCAGAAAACTTCTACATAAAAATCACATCAGCGAAATCATTAAAGGCTCAGTTGTAGGTGTGTGTGTGTGTGTGTGTGTGTGTGTGTGTGTGTGTTTTAATAAAGAAAATGCATTTCTGCCCTGCAGCCAAAAAACTTCTTTACAACTCAGTGGCAGTTTAAAGAATAACGTTTTTGTATTAAAAATAAATAAATCTTAAAACCAATTTTTAAAAATCTTTAAAGTTTGGTCATAACATAATGCGATTAGAAATTCCTACCCCAGTAAAATCCAGGAGGAATGCTGGAATTATAGCTCAAGCAAAAAAACAAAACAGAAAAAAAACGCAAGCAAAAAAACCACCCTCTCTTGTCCCATGTTTTGCTCCTGCAAAGAACTTGTGTGAGGAACGTAAGAGTTGGAGTCAGAGAGAATCTGCTCCATTGTTTTGACCCAGTAAAACTATGTTCTGTTTGCTGGACTTCCTTCACCCCATCCTGCAGGCCAATTCCAGTCCGGGTGGGCTCCCAGCTGCATCAGTGCTCCCCCCCCAGCTGTGGGATTACCTAATATGCAACCATTCAACACTTTCCACCATGCCCCTCAGCACCCCAAAGTTTGGAAGACAGGAGATAGGAAGATGCCTTATACTGAATCAGACTCTTCGTCTATCTAGATTAGTATTGTGTACTCTGACTGGCAGCAGCCACACACACTCACACACATGGGTTTCAGGCAGCGTGTCTCTCCCAGGTCTAGCTGGGCATGCTGCTGGGGATCGAACCTTTTGCATGCAAAGCATATGCTCCATCCACATTGACCCTGAAAAGACCAAATTCTCTTGTTTGGATTTCAGGGTGGCTCCTCCATTTGCTCATCACCAGTCCTTGTTGCCGCCAAGAGGACATGGCATGTTACGTAAGGCACAGGGAATTATCCCTTCTCAATTAGACCCCTGGGCGCTGAACCGGGGCCTGCTTAGTTCAATGCCCGGTAGCAAAGCAAAGACGGGCTTATGTAAAGTTTGTTTTGTTTCGGCCACTCGGCCCTCAGAGTAAACCTGGGTGCCCTCATCAAATTTAATGAGCCTGGGGTTGAACTGTGGGCACAATCCAGCCCCAGCCCAAGGCTGCGGTCCTAGGCACACCGAAGCCAGTGGGATATCTTGCCCAACAAAGCAGGCCTCGGCTGAAGGAGGCCTCCTCTCTTGGAAGAGTGGCTTGGTTCATCGTTGGTTTCTGGAAGTAGGTGAGAGACCCTTGAAATTGTCCCTCAACAAATTTGGGCCACAGACTGAGCAGGCTTCCAGCTCGCCCTGGTCACCATCCTCCCCCATTTACAGTGAAATGTATTGTATTTCTGTTTAAATTAGAGCAATTTTTTCTCCATTTACATCTATGCATGCAAATTAGACTAGATGTGTCCCCTTTCGTCCTCTAGTTTCTAATGGCTGCCCTTTGCTTTCCCATAAGGCATTGCCAGAAAAAAGGACATCCATTAGAAACTAGAGGACTGACTTCGCTTGTGGCAGAGTTGGGTGCCTGTTTCCATTACTGCCATTATTTCGAAATGATCCCAACCTTAAGAGTAAAGTATACCCTCCAACATTTCTCTGATGAAAATAGGGACGTCCCATTCCATAAATGATAATTTTACTGTTTATACCCCACACGTCTGACTGGTCTGCCCCAGCCTCTCTGGGCAGCTTCCAACATATATAAAAACATAAGAAAACATTAAACATTTTTTTTAAAAAAAACTTCCCTATACAGGATTGCCTTCAGATGGCTTGGTGGTTCGGATAACTCCATACCATACCCTCCAACATTTCTCCAATGAAAATAGGGATATCCTAAGGAGAAGTGGGACATTCCAGGTTCAAATCAGAAAGCAGGATGGCTTCTCTAAATCAGGGACGTCCCTGGAAAATAGGGACACTTGAAAGGTTTGGTAAAGCTGGTTCGTATTAACTCGACACCCATCATATAGGCCATTCTTGTCTACTATGAAATATCGCTGTATATTTATGCCTTGCAACTTAGGTGTAGCTGGCAGGCTCTGTTTCATTTCCGTTTGTTCACTGCCGCCTCTAAGCACGTGCCCCATATATATGGGAACTGCACACCACCAAACCCTATCCCAAAATAATGCTGACTTTTGCATGCAGTTGCATCCCTATCCAGTTCTGGGAAATGGAAGGAACAATGAGATTGGCCTGTGAAACAGTTCAAGGGAGACGGGCAGGAAGTTGCCACCTGGAGAGTGGACTGAGCAGGCACTGACGCAGGGCCCCCGGGCCACAGTCTCCTCCAGTCCCCCTATGACGAAACAGAACGCGTTCCTTTTTTTAAAAAAAATATGGTGGTAATTTGCATCTATATCTATAAAATAGAGCGTGCAAATTTTATGGTGATGCGATTTCTCTTTCGGCCATGTGAAAGTGGCCACCCTTGTGGAATGCTGTTCCAGGTGAGATATGTCAAGTCTTGATACTTTGACGTGCTTGGTTAAAATGCAGCTGTTCAAAAGGAGGTTATTATCCGAGCATTTTTCTCTTTTTTGTGTTACCTTAATGCTGCTCTCTTTAGATCTTCAGGTATTTTAGGAGTCACTCTTCTTTCTATTTGCTAGGGTTCTTGGCTGATTGTGTTAATGCTGTTCAACTCTTGTACACACACACACAGAGAGAGAGAGAGAGAGAGAGAGTTGATGTATAAAACTGGTGTGCGTGTGACATGATAGCTCAGTTGCTAAAGCATGGCACTCTTAATCTCAGGTTTGTGGATTCAAGCCCCACATTGGGCAAAAGAGCCGGGTGGACTTGATGACCCTTGTGACCCTTCCAACTCTATGGACTTGGCTACATTAGTAAAAAACAATGATTTGAATGCGCTATAAACATGCAACACCAGATGGCACCAGAGAGCAGGAACTTTTTATATGCGTTTTTCTGTAGGGTTTTTAAAATTTTGTTATAACCATCTAATTTCTGACTTATTTATAGTGTTCCTCCAACCCCCTGTGTATAGTTCCACCTTATGATTCTACATTTTATTATTGTAAAGCCACCTTAAATTCATTTTGAGAAAAGCCCAGGGGCAGGAACCCTGTGGCCCTTCCGCTACCTGCTAGGACTGGTGAGAGTTGTAGCCCAACAACATGTGGGGTGGGCATTGATTTCCCATCCCTGATCAGAGTTTCTTCAAACATAAACAGATGAAGTGACATTCATTTTCTCTGCACACTTCATTCAGACATGCACATTCTTGTGCGCATGACTTGGCCAGAGAAGTGCAACTGAGAAATTCGGAGATGTGCAGACTTGAAAGGATGGAGGTTGCGTTTCAGTCCATGGATTGTTTCAGAAAGTATGGGCCATGTAGTTTCTCCTTGAAATGTGAAATGCGTCAAATTTCTTTCCCATCTCAGGATGCTTTGGGAAGTACAAGAAGACATTAGTGTGGCCCCCCTCCAAGCTCTACAGTCCCCTCCCAGAAGTAGCAGCTCTTCACCATGCCAGAAGCTGTAGTCTGAAACATCCTGAGGGCACCGTCTTGGGAAGGTGGTCACAATAAAGACATTGCCTTTAAGATGCTGAAGGATCCCGAAGGTGCTTCCAGACAGGGTTAATGTTGTACATGGGGGTTGTTCAGATATTGCAAATGGGTCATTGGGAAAAGCTTTTTATTCATTTATCTGATTTCCCCTGGAAAGGTTAAATCTGGATTAAATGGGGGAGGGGGAATACAGACTGTCATTTTTATGCCAACGATGTCATTTGGAAAGTGCAATAAAACTAAAATAATACTGCAGGCATGAGGTGCAGCATCCTACAAGAGATGCCTGCCTGGATCACCTTTGGATGCTTTTCTTGAAGGAAGATATGGGTTAACGTCATGTTTAAGCCTCTGAAGGTAGATTAGATAGTTGCGGTTTTTATGTATTTGTTCCTGTTTTCATTTCTAATATACAACAAGCAATAACAACCGTGAAGAGAAAAGATCAAAGCAAGAAATGAAAAAGAAGGTTATGAGGAGAGAGTGGTCCTATTTGAAAAATAGCATTATAATCCTTCATAAGCACATTATCCAAGAGTGTTTTTCCACAGGAGTCCAGGAGAAGAGGGCGGCTGCCAATCACGTTCCCTTACTTTAACCTAGATCAGAGAGTTGGCTAAAGTGCTTTAAAAGCGCACAACATGATGGACGCCACTTGTGGCTAGGGAGATTTTAATTCTCCTTCGTATTGCATGTTGTGCGTTTTGAGGGAAGCTGCAGTTGTTCACTGAGTCACAAGAGTGAAATGGCACTTCTATCCTGCTGGAAACTATAGATTCTCTTTTTTCCCCCCGGCATAAGAGCACGCCCCGAAACACACTGCGTGTGTCATAGATTAACGGTGCCACCGAGGCTAAATGGGTGTACTTGCGTGACTAGGAATTCTGGAGCGGATCACCTCAGTTCTCCTCCACTTTGGCAGGGCTACAGGGCTCGTGTTTTCACATGAATGAACGGCTCTTGAACGATTTGTGGCTGAATTTCTCAAAGTTGTTAGGAACAAAAAGGCTTTTCTTTAGCATCTTTACACAGTTACTGGGTTTGCCTATTTCTTCACCCGCCCGCCGCCCCCAGCCTGGCGCACCGAGGAGAACATGGTTGCCACATTTTAAGACACTGGGAAGTTCATTCATTTATCACATCCTGTTATTAAGATCAACCCTCTCTAATACCTCTTTCAGTGAGTGGGCAAATGAAGATGGAGGCTCAGTTCAGACATCATGCCAAACCGCAGTTTACACTAACCACGGTTCAGACTCCAAACCATGGTTTGAGTTTTACAGGCATACAGGAAATACTACAGTTTAGAGCAGCTTTGGTTCGCTCTCTGCTCAGGACTGCTGTTGGCAGAGCAATGGCGGTAACTCTGTTGCTCCTCCTATATTGTCTGGGGGCGTCAGCCTGAGATTGGTGGGCGGTTGTAGTGTTGCCAAGGTTGCTGACGGCATGTCTGCAGTGCTTCGTTTTGTGTGTGTGTGTTGCTTTAGTTCATTTTTGCCGCATTTCCCCATCCTATCGTGGCCTGCAAATGGGTTAAGCGTAGCAGCTCTTTGGATGGTCTAACAACTGCACCTGCAGGCCTCTCCATCTTCCCCTTGGGACTCTCATAAAAACGTAATAATGGAATGCTGGATCAAGCCAATGGCCCATCTAGTCCAGCATCCTATCCTCACAGTGGCCCATACAAATGCCTGTGGGAAACCAGCAAGCACAAGAGCCCTGTGGTTTCCAGCAGCTGATGTTCAGAAGCCTGCTACCTCCAGGTATGGAGGAAGAGCATAGCCATCATGGCTAGTAGCTATCAATACCCCTCTCCTCCATGGATTTGTCTAATGCTCTTCTAAAGCCATCTGAGTTGGTGATCATCACTGCCTCCATAGTTTAACTATGCACTCTTCTGTGACAGTTTTGAGGAACCTCTTGCCCTCCCACCTGCTGCCATTCATAAGGGTGTGGGTCAGGGTAAGATGTTGTCTGAGCTGAAAGCAGGGGGGCACAGAGCCCTGAGCAAGCTCTGGCAGTGTTGATTATTGTCGAGTCTCATGGAGCGCCATGCATAGGGCTTTGCAAGGTGCAATGGTCAGGCAACAGCTGGATCTTGGGAAAGGGGGCCCTACAAAGCGCCCCCACAAAGCTAATGCACCAGCTAATGGCGTTTTAGTGTTCCTCCTCCCGGTTCACTTTCATTCATATGATTTCACTCACATCAGCAAGAGCAGGTGAAAAGCTCTCCCGCAGACATTCTCTTAGATGGCAGAGAATTCCCTTGCCTTGAGAAATTTTCCAGCATGAAAAACAAAAAAAGGAAAAAACCTTGGCTAGTGAATTCCCAACGATCCTCTTCAAAGATTCCTGTGTAAGCCCAGGGGGCTGGTTTTCATTCTAGGGCCAGCAGATGGAGACGAAGCCTCACACATCTGCTCATTTCGGGCTTGGGATTTCTGTCCCTCCCCATCCTTGCTTCTGTTTATAACCTAAGTTAGGGATCAGCAGCTAGCTGTGCTTGAGCCAAACCTGGCCCCTTGGGCAATTCTGTTTGGTAGCCTGTTCTTAGCCCAGAAGTGAAAGCAGGATATGGAGGGGATTTCACCTATGGGGTTGACCCCCACCACGCCACCTAAGGAGCACTGTAGCCGAGACCCACACCAAACGCTGACCTGGGTTGAAGATTCTGTTGCCACTTCTAAGATGCTCCCAGTAGTGCTCCCAGACTACACAACTGCCATGAATGTTACATGGGATGTGGGTGCCCCATATCCATATATTATGGTCCACATGGTGGATTCCCCCCCCCCCCATACACACACAAATGCGGAAGTAAACAAGAAATCCTAAGAAAGTTGCATTAATTGGGTGAAACATTTGTTGCTTATGGCCAAAGGCCAAAAATATCTCTCAAAACTAGATGCCTCCATCAATCTCTATAAGTGGTTTTGGGGGACTCTGGTGCAAAAACGGAACTGATATATCTCAACACATCAGACATTCGCACATGCCAATATTGAAAATACTATGTATATCAATCATCATAAATAGAAGCTAGAATCAGTTAAAACAACAAACAAAAATAAAACAAAAGGAAGCAATAAAACCCAAGCAATAAAATAAATGATTAAAGTCATCATCACAATGACAATTTATAGCGCTCTCTCTCTCTCTCTCTCTCTCTCTCTCTCTCTCTCTCTGGGAGATTTCTTCAGAAAGAAAGACCATGTAAGTCACAACAAAAGCAAAGATCTGACAGTAGATCACACACCCTTTCTACAGTATCTTTTGCCTGTATTCCCAATAAAACAGGATTGCGAAATTTAAGAAGGGTGTGTCTGTGTTCAGTTGACTCGCCAAGTGGTTGAAAGCAGCTCACATTGATTGTCTCAGTCCCATCAAGTCAGCAGAAAAAAGAAGAAATAGTATTCCTGGCCTGCCTTTCAATAATGTGGCAGAAAGGGTTACTGAAGTAACGGGTACAAACAACAAAGCGTCTTGTGACATCTTAAATACGAACAGCTGGGTTGGCTTCTGAGTGACACAAGGCTCCTTGACACTTTGCTGCAGCAGGAGAGCGGCACAGCTGCTGACCTGGAAGTTGAGGAAATGTAAACTAAACACCCTGACCTGTGAAAATTACCCTGTTGGTGGCACTGTTAGGTCCTGCCTGGTTGGCAAAGAGCCACGGCAGCGTTTTTCTCAGTGGCTGTTCCCCTTCTGAGAGGTGCATCTCACCCCCTTCATTCTTAACACACACAAGGAATTTTTAAACTTTCCCAGTCACCCAGACAATGGATGGCTGAAAGATACTGTTCCTGGCAACTTCAAAATTCTTTGCTGCCGGGGCATGTTACTCTTCCTTTGATGTTTTTAGATGTTCATAACTGTTTTTAGTGTGTTTTAATGGCATTGTTTTACTACGCTGTTGTTGCCACCCTCGGCTCCTGTGCAACACAAAATCTTATGTATTTATTTAGCTGTGCTTCCTGCACTGGACTAGACGGCTCTTTGGGTCCTTTCCAACTCTACTATTTTATTTATTCATTTAGAAATGCTGTGTATCTCTGTGATGTGTGTGTACGTGCTTGATTATAGCACAGTTGCATTTTGCTCCAAGCCGCGGTTTGGGTCTGGGGAATCTACTTGCTCCCTCTGAGAGTCTCCTTACGTAACCCACCGCTCCTGAAAGGCAGGCCCTGACCCTGCTGCCCTCCCCTCTCTGCGCAGGGTCCAACCTATTAGCATAGCTGTCCTGGTTCCAGGTTTCCTCAGCCTAGTTTAGCATTCCGCCCAGGTTGACCGTCTTCCTTTGGAGAAGGTTCTTCTGAATATTAATTAGACTTTCTCCGTCCGGATTAAATCCTTTGCCAGAAAAGCCATTTGGCTGCGAGATTAAAGTTCTTCCACCTCTTCCTAACACCTCCTTTCTTTGTCATTCTGAGAAAGTTCTCCTCTTTCATTGACTGTCTTACTCACAGCAGTCATGAAAACAATTTCTTAAATCCCGTGCCTCTTACTGAGTGCCTGAGCGCCAAGCAAATGATCCTGGGATCTTCCTTGAAAAGCATCCAATAGTTGTTTCAATAGCTATTGTCTGCTTAGGGCTTTCCTTTACGGCAGATTTTGGTGTCAGTCCAGCTTAGGGAGTGGCGAATTATAGGGCTGGGTCCTATTCTGACTGGAGCTGATGGGTGTCAGAGTCCGAAGCACTTGGAGGATACCAGAGTGGGATGGGCCATAGCTCAGCAGTACAGCATATGCTTTGCAGGCAGAAGTTCCCCAGGTTCAGTCATCAGCATCTCTAGGTAAAGCTGTCTGAAAACCTAGAGAAACTCTGCCAGTCACTGTTGACAAGTCTAGCTATTGCTAGACTCTCATCTGCACCAGCCAGCATGGACAGTGGTCAGTCACCCTTACATGTGCTGTTCATGAGGCAGAAACAGCAGCAAGCTTTCATCATCATCAAACGCCTCCTAAAGACCCATCTATTTAAACTGGTCACCACATCATTCTGCTTTATTATTTACTGTTTTATTGATGGCTTTTACTGAGGCATCTCTTTGCATTCGGAGTTTTAAATGTGGTATGAACATTATTCTTTTTCAACGTTATCTTACTGTGGTGTGTGTGGTTTTTTTGTAAACCGCTTAGGGATTTTGAACATTAAGCAGCATATAAATATGATTGACGACGATGATGGTGACAATGCTGAGCTAGATGGACCCAAACGGCAAGGGTGGTCCATCCATAGCTGTCAACTTTTCCCTTTTTTAAAGGGAAATCCCCTTATTCCAAATAGGATTCCTCATAAGAAAAGGGAAAAGTTGACAGCTATGGGTCCATCCTGTTTTGCTGAAATGGGAAGGTGCAGCCCTGCATGAACACCAGATACTCACCCCCCCTTCCATATTGCCTCCGCCAAAGCCTTGCTTATTGGGGTCACAGGTTCTGCGTTTTGGACAGATCTCACGAGAGCTCTGTGGAGTCTTGTGGTATCCCTGCAAGATCTCGTGGGACTCTTGAGATATTTCATGAGGCTCTCGCAAGATCTCATACCAGAACCCAAAGGCTGCCTCAGCCGCTACTCCTTGCTCATCCGGCAATGGGGGGGGTGTGTCTGTGGAGATGCCCCTTGGATTCTGCCACCTGAGGCAGCTGCTTCAGCCTGTCTCATGGGTGGCCTGGCCATGCTAATGGTCTGATTGGGTAGAAGGCAGCTTCCTATGGCTTTGGTGTATCTGAAGAAAAATACGTCTGCCAAGTACTATCCAAATTCTCCTCTTCAAGTTATTACTATTGTTGTTGAGCATACTAGAGTAGCGAGATGAGAAGATACGCCTATATATTAATTCATCTTCTCCTACGCCTTCTGCTCCTCCCAGGTAACATTATCGGCTCCGGCATCTTCATTTCCCCCAAAGGAGTCCTGGAGCACACGGGGTCCGTGGGGCTCGCCCTCATCATCTGGGTGCTCGGCGGGGGGATCGCAGCCCTCGGGTCGCTGTGTTACGCCGAGTTAGGAGTCACCATCCCGAAGTCTGGAGGGGATTATTCCTACGTCTCTGAGATTTTCGGTGAATTAGCTGGGTAAGTGGCGCTTTAGCAGCATGACGCTAAATCTTTTGGGTCTCACGGCATCCTCACGGCAACCTTGCAAGGAGGGCTATATTGGCACATGCTCCTCGCTCCCCTGAGCAATCGACTGTGGTGAGTGCAGCACTTTGGAAGAGACAGTGCTGAGGACGCCTAGGGAGCTGGCAATATTTTGCTCTAAAAAGGGGGCAAGGAAGCTAGAGCCAGTGGGTCAGTCTTGGCCCACCAGGTGCTCTATTTCCCCCCAAACAACGCCCACCTGTCAATCAACTGAAAGATGCCGGGGATCAAACCCAAGGTGAGTGGGCGGTGCCGAGACGCACTCCTGAGCGCGTGCAGAGTGCGTTCCTCCTCCATGTCCAGAGGCAGCCGCAGGACCAGCTTGCAGGGTGTTTATATTTTTCAAAATATAGTCCGTGCCCCCACCCAAGGTCGGAGGGACAGTGGACCGGCCCCCTGATGGAAAAGTTTGCTGACCCCTGGCTTATATCAAATAAGGCAATATTCAAAAATCCATTAGAAAATATTGGTACACTATAAAACCGACTCTCAAAATATCTGCAAATAATAATCAAACAGAAATTCGCTCTCAGCAATTATGATAAATCTAGTGAACTGTAATCAATAAAAATAACAGCAAGTCACAATATGTAAAATAACTATCTCTGTAAAATATCAAATTGAGCAAAAAGTCCCTTAACTTATAAAATAATATTGACAAAAAATTAAATTATTATTATTATTGAATTCCTTTGGCATGCAAAGCATCATTGCTTTCCCACTGAGTCCTGGATTTGAACCCAGGACTTCCTGGCTTCTAACCATCACACTGTGCTGCGCCAGCTTCCCTGAGGTTGCACGATTTCCCTTGTTGCCATGGAGGCCTGAGCAGCCGTTCCTGGCGCAATCCTCTTCCAAACACCCTATTTCATGTTAGGAGGCAAGCATCCTTACTTTGATGGTGTTTGAATGAACTGGCTAGGGAGTTTCTTGTTACAGCCTGAACTGCTGATGCAATGTTGCTGAGGGGAGGGGAGCACCTGCTTACAGACAGATTACCTCCCCCCACCCCGCAATATCTGCTCTGGCCAAGAGCAGGTGCAATCCTAATTGCACAGGATACCAGGAGGCAGGCTGCATTTTGCAAAGACTGTAAATCAGGCCGTGAAGATTTTGTAAGGACAAAGGCAACCAGAAGAAAGCCGGCAACTCTTGATAATTTTCAGGGCCAGTCGCCCTCCAGAAATTGATATTTATTGCATCTAAGAAAGTGCCAAAACGACGAGTCATACGTGGAGATATAAAAAGCGGCAAAGCTCTCTGTGTTGTTTCCTAAAAGTTTAGGCTGACAAAGGCTTCAGCTCCACCCTCAGGCCAGCAATAACTCAACAGGGAGATCGTGTTAACCTTGCCCTGTCTCCACAAGGCTGTTTTTATTGAGGCTAAAAAGGGACAGTAGTTTTTGAGAGAGCTGGACCACTTGCCCTTGGGATGAGCACAGAGATGTGAAGGACTGGGGAAAGACTGGGAAAACTGTGTTGGGGCAGGGAACACATCTGGGGTTTTTCCACCCAGTTTTGCTGGGACGGGGGTTGCTATTTTTTCCGGGGGGTGGGGCAGGAATGGAAAAACAGATTTTGTGGCAGTTATTTCCATAAAGGAAATACACGTTTTTCTTTCATGCTTTTCCAGTTGTGCAGATTTATTTATTTATTGCTATAGTTTGTATCTCACCTTTCCTTCAATGAACTCAAGGACATAGTTCTCCCCCTCCTTGTTTTACTTTCCCAGCAACCTTGTGAGGTAGGTTTGGCTAAGAAACAGTGCCTGCCCAAGTTCATCCAGTGAGTTTCACAGCTGAATCAAGTCACCCAACAAGTCCTAGTTTGACACTCAAACCACTACACCATAATATAAATTAAGACAAGCACTGCTGGATCAGGCCAATGGCCCATCTAGTCTAGCATCCTGTTCTCACAGTGGCCAACCAGATGCCTCATTGGGAATCCTGCAAACAGGATCCGAGCACAATAACAGTCTCCTCTTTACCAAGCTAAACATACCCAACTCGCTCAACCTTTCTTCATCAGTCTTAGTTTCCAGACACCTTTCTTGGTGTGCACCTTTCTCTGTACATGTTCCACCTTGTCAATACCATTCTTAATTTTGGCACCCAGAACTGGAAACATTACTCCAAGTGTGATCTGACCATGGCAGAACAGAGCAATACTATTACTTCCCTTGTTCGGAACACTATAATTCTGTTGATGCTGCCTAGAACAGCATTAGCTTTTTTTGCTGCTGCATCACACTGCTGACTCATGTTGAGCTTGTAGTCTACTAACATCCCTAGATCCTTTTCACACGTACTACTGGCAGACCAGGTACACCTGGTTCTTCCTGCCTAAGTGTAGAAGCTTACATTTCCACCTGTTGAAATTCCTTTTGTTATTTTTGGCCCACTTCTCCAGTCTTATTAAGGTGGTGTTCCCTTGTGTCAACCATTCTCCAAGTCGTGGAGATTTAACTTCTGCAGACGTGGGAAAAGAGTACGTTTCTGAGCACAATTCAAAGTGTTGGTGCTGACCTTTAAAGCCATAAACGGGCTCGGTCCAGTATTCCTGAAGGAGCGTCTCCACCCCATTGTTCTGCCCGGACACTGAGGTCCAGCGCCGAGGGTCTTCTGGCGGTTCCCTCGCTGCAAGAAGCCAAGTTACAGGGAACCAGGCAGAGGGCCTTCTCAGTAGTGGCGCCCGCCCTGTGGAACGCCCTCCCATCAGATGTCAGGGAAATAAACAACTACCTGACATTCAGAAGACATCTTAAGGCAGCCCTGTTCAGGGAAGTTTTTAATGTATGACATCGTAGTCTAATTTTGGTCTTTGTGGAAGCCGCCCAGAGTGGCTGGGAAAACCCAGCCAGATGGGCAGGGTACAAATAATAAATTAATAAAAAAAAATTAAAAAGGGCAAATCTTTAAGAATGCAAATCCAAAAGGCAAAAACTGGGGACGATGAGTTCCCATGGGCAGAGATTATAAGAATTGCCACTAACAAATAGAATCCTAAAATTGGAGGCACCTCAGAAGCCATTTACGGTAGTCCAAGCACCTACCAGTGCAGGAAATCCTAATAATTCTGGCACCATTGGAACACCATAGGAATGCCTATCAATTTGGGGGAGGGCAGCCCCCCTCAAATATTTTATCGGGAGGGCAAATGGAGCTTGGTCCTTAGGGGTTGGCTCCTATGCGTGGATGAAATGTGGACTTCTATACAAAATGGCCCACATCTGTTGCTCCGCCCCCTGTTGTCTCAGGCTCCACCTTCCAGTGGTGGAACGGGGGATGGGGTCCCTGAGGGTTGTCCATCCCGGCGATTGAACCTGGGACCTTTTCCATGGTGGCACTTGGAAAGAATAGAAAAAACGTTAATACAAAAACTAAAAGGTGATCACTTTTCCGGAACCCTTTCCATTTAAACATTTCCTGGCCAATAAAAATGACCTTTAGAATCTTGTTCTGACCAGAAGTTAATTAACCTGCACATTTAATAGCTGTTTTATGAAACCACCAAGCTCCAATAATGACTCTCAGATTCGTGCCTAATCTTTTTATTTATTTTTTTAGTTCTAAAAATGAAGGGGAAATGAAGATTAGTAGGGGTTGCATCATAAGCAGATTTGGCTCAGGGGGGGAGCCAGTTCCCCCCTTTCTTTCTTTAAATCCTTCAGTAATACTAAAACTTGAAATATATAAAAAAATAAAAAAATTGTCCAGTAGCACCTTAGAGACCAACTAAGTTTGTTCTTGGTGTAAGCTTTCATGGTATCTGAAGAAGTGTGCATTCACACAAAAGCTTATACCAAGAACAAACTTAGTTGGTCTCTAAGGTGCTACTGGACAATTTCTTTATATATTTTGACTGCATCAGACCAACACGGCTACCACCTGAAAGTAACACTTGAAGGAGGTGTTCCATGATTATTGGCTTGCAATTGCTGCCACTTAGAAAAGTTAAGTCTCATTTTCTGACTGGAGATTCTGGGACTTGTAGTCAGGGGTAGCTCAAGACATTTCGGCACCTGAGGCAAAATGCCTCCTGCTGTCCCTATGATGCGGTTGGGGGGGCATGAGAGGCTCTGCAAAGGCTTCCCTTAAGGCAGGGGTGCCCAAACTTTTTTCAAAGAGAGCAAGATTTGATGAAGTGAACATGCATGAGGACCGACGAAAGTTGTTGACCATTTTTTTGAGCTTTTGGGGGGGATTTTACCCCAGGAAATAAACTGCCACAGGGGCCAGATTAAACTGACCGGCAGGCAGGATTAGGCCCCGGGCCAGACTTTGGACATACCTGCCTTAAGGAGAAGCACTGCAAAGCCTTGACAGGCTGACAGGCTGAGGGGCAGGGGAGCTTCAGAAAGCACTTCTCCTTAAGATAAAGCCCTTGCCAACTCATTGAGGGCGGGGGGAGGTGTTCCTCAGAGCTTTGCTGCTGGTCCCTCTCTGCCCCTGGCAGGTGGGGAGCTTGAAACAAAGCTGGGTGGAGGAATGCTGTGCAGCTTCGCTGCCATCTCCGCCAATTTTCTGATTGTGATTGTTGTTATGAGAATCGGAGAGCCCCTTATCCAGGGTGCTTCCAGACTCTCAAAATTTTCTGGGAGGGATTTGAATGCATGTCAGAACTTTCCTTTTGTGAGATTAAAGCGGGTTAAGGCACTCTGTTGCCGTTCCGTAACAAATCCACTTTTAAAAACAACAGCAACAGACTTCTGCAGCTTGCAATGTGATGGGGAAGTGGGAGATGAATGAACATCTGGCAAGGGAGACGTTGAAAGGTCAAGCAAATGCAGGTGGAGGCAGGTAGATACCCCATAAACGCGTCATGTAACTACCCCATAAATGCAGCAGAGCAAATGTGCAGTAAAGACCTCTAACAATCTGACCTCCACATAGGGGTGGGGGAGAAAATCAATTTGATTTGCAATTTAATGAGACAGCTCCTGATTCGCACCAGATTCTTCTTGAGCCAGTCCATGAACTAAAAGGCAGATACCCTTCAAAATTTGCAGTTCCCTGAATGTTGTGGCAACAGTTCTGCTGCCCAGCAAAGCACACATTAATGCATATATTGGGGGGATGTGCATGGGAGTGCATTGATTCATACCCAATGCTTTATATTAGGGAAATTTGTTTCTAAAGTGGCATATATGTGGCAAAACTGCACTCTAAAATGTGTTTACTAGGAGAAATTTACACTAAAAGGCTCATAAATTTTTGAATGGAGAAAATGGATCAGCAAACCGACGTGGAAATGTGGAGGAGTGAATTTAAGTCTGCAGAAATGAGAACTGGAGAGGAACTCCAGGCGATGGCTGCATCATTCCTGACCTCCAGGGAAGCTGCTGCAAGCCAGCCAGGATGACCCGGTCTGGAGGAGCCAGTAGCCCAATGTGGCTCTTTGTGCCGTCTCATTTAACTGGAGATTCTCCTTTTCTTTCCTTTTCTCTTGGCTTCAGGTTTCTCCTCCTATGGAGCGCAGTCCTCATCATGTACCCCACCAGCCTGGCTGTGATCGCCCTGACTTTTTCAAACTATGTCCTCCAGCCAGTGTTTCCCAACTGTATCCCTCCCTATAATGCCTCCAGAGTCCTTTCCATGGTGTGTTTATGTGAGTATTTATCAGCAACCTTTTCCTTGGGCTTCCAGCGGCATTTGCCAAGAGGGCCACTCTCCAGCAGAGACGCCCTCAACCAAGAAAGGGCTGGTGCTGTTTTAGTTTTATTGGTGTTTAATTACTTTTCAATGATTAACATGGAAAAAAAAACATTTTTAGCATTTGTCTATTCCATCTGTGCTTACATATTTTGATCTGTAAGCCACCTTGAGTCCCAGTCTGGGGAAAAGGTGGGATGATGATTAATAATAATAATAATAATAATAATAATAATAATAGTAGGAGTGAGAGGGGTACATAAACACAGTGCTCATTCAGTGAAGCCCAGGCTGTCTTTTGGATCCTCAGCCTCATCCTCTGGTTTTCCCAACCCTTCTCTCTCTTAAAAACAAACAAATAAAATGGAGTTCAGTGCTATAGTGAAACCTCGGTTGTTGAACGCTTTGGAAGCTGAACAATTCGGAACCCAAACGCCTACAACCCGGAAGTGAATGCTTCCATTTTTGAACGATTTTTGGAAGCCGAATGGTCTTCCGGAATGGATTACGAGGTTCCACTGTATAGCCCATTTTAGATGTCTGGGCGTTTTCTGTCTTCTTTCAAAAATAAGAAGCTCAAATAAAAGGGTTTGATCTTTGACGCGCATGGCACAAACCTCTCTCTGGACGGAATTGTGTTTCCTGCTCTCCAGCACTCTTGACGTGGGTGAATGGCTCCAGCGTCCGATGGGCCACCCGCATCCAGGATATCTTCACTGCAGGGAAACTCCTCGCCTTGGGCCTGATCATTGTTGTGGGCTTCATACAGATCTTCAAAGGTATTTCATGCAGGAACCCTGAATGCCAGGATGACATCGAGAGAATGTCATCAAGTGGAATCAAGCCCTTCTTAGCAAATGGAGCCCACTCACTCTGACGGGGCAGAGGGTTGTTGTTGTGGTTGCTCCTATTTCACTTTTTCCAGAATGGCGAACTCAAAGCAACCTGCAAAAACCAATACAGTGGTACCTCGGGTTAAGTACTGGTACTTAATTCGTCCCAGAGGTCCGTTCTTAACGTGAAACTGTTCTTAACCTAAAGCACCACTTTAGCTAATGGGGCCTCCTGCTGCCGCCGTGCCGCCAGAGCACGGTTTCTGTTCTCATCCTGAAGCAAAGTTCTTAACCTGAAGCACTATTTCTAGGTTAGCAGTCTGTAACCTGAAGCGTATGTAACCTGAAGCATATGTAACCCGAGGTACCACTGTACATTAAAAACAGGTGTAAAAACAACCTAAAATGCATCAATTATATCTATAACTATATCTATATATATATTTTGCCTGGCACCTAAAAAGAGATGAGGATGGCGCCTGGCCTGCCTCCCTGGACAGAGTGTTCCGTAAATAGGGAGCCACCACAGAGAAGGCCCTTTCTCATGTTGCCACCCCCCACACCTCCCTCAGAGGAGGCCCATGGAAAAGGGCTTCAGATGATGAGCACAGGGTTCAACTTGTTAAAGTATTCTCCCCCTGCTTGGAACTGTACCAGAGAAGTAAACTGGTGTCCCATCCACCCCCCTTCTCCAGGTAGCCCTGAGGAGCGGGTTTTTTTGAGAGGGATTCAGCCCTCAGACTGAGCCCACAATGCTGCTCCCTCTGCCTAATGATAGGATTAGGGAAGCCTGGATAACTAAACTTTTTTTTATAAATATGTCATGCAGCTATACTGCAAGATTTTCCTTCCCTGTTTCTTTGAGCAGATTTGCTGGCTTTCTTTACTGGCATGCAGAAATTAAGAATGCAAAGGGTTTCCAGCCTGTGCAGTAGGCCATTGGCGTGAGGGGAGGCTGACAGGCTGACTAAGCAAGGGGGCAACCTTGCCTTTTCATCTCGGACTGGCCCTGTCCAGAGGAGGCCTCTGCTTCTCCCTGGGACATGTTACCCCGGCTCTTCTAACATATTGACTGCAGGAGGGGGTGGCTGGGTGCTGAGATGCATGTCTGAATTAACTTTCTGCTTGTAGGAAACTATGAAGAACTCTTGCCAAGCAATGCCTTCAATTTCTGGATGACCCCTTCGGTGGGGCATTTGGCGCTAGCCTTCCTTCAGGGCTCCTTTGCATTCAGTGGGTGGAATTTCCTAAATTATGTGACGGAGGAATTAGTTGATCCTCGCAGGCAAGTATTTCGCTTCCCGTCTGACCTTGGGTTAGGAGGAAAACCATCCGCGGTGTCTCCTAGCATCTGCCTTTCTGCACATATCTGAGAAGAGAGAGAGACCGACCCACTGAAATTAATGAGCGTGGCCAACTTAGGTCTTTTAATATCAGTGGATCTACTCTGGGTCCTTTTCATGGGCACCTCTAGGAATATTAGCAGCTGCCTTACACGGAGTCAGTCCGTTGCTCCATTTAGCTCAGTGTTGTCTACACTGACTGGCAGCAAAGACTGTCTGGGGTTTCAGGCAGGGGTCTCTTCTAGCCCTCCCTGGACAGATGCCATTGGGGATGGAACCCGGGACATTCTGCATGCAAAGCGAATGCTCTGCCACTGAGCTAAAGCCCTTCCGCTAACTCTGCAAGAGCCAGTGTGGTGTAGTGGTTAAGAGCGGTAGTCTCGTAATCTGGGGAACCGGGTTCGCGTCTCCGCTCCTCCACATGCAGCTGCTGGGTGACTTTGGGCCAGTCACACTTCTCTGAAGTCTCTCAGCCCCACTCACCTCATAGAGTGTTTGTTGTGGGGGAGGAAGGAAAGGAGATTGTGAGCCACTTTGAGACTCCTTAAAGGGAGTGAAAGGCGGGATACCAAATCCAAACTCTTCCTCTTCTTCTTCTTTTGAAATCCTGCAGAAGCCACACAACTTGGCGATACTGCAAACTTGACCCCAGCAGCCCTCACCCAGGGCCCAATTTATCCAAGGGCTGGCTCTGGGGTGTATCCTGCCTGGGAGTGTTCATGGTTTCCTTTGGTGTCAGCTGGCATCCCTGCATGAGAATATTTTCTGTTCCCATCTTTTGCATTGATGTACCATTTGCATGTTTATAATATTCGTGCGCCCTGCTTTTTGGTTGTGCTGCGTTTTTTGCGGCGCTGTTTCTTCCCCTCCCCGCTCTTTTTTAAAGCCATGGCTTGCCTGTGACTAGCAAAAGCCCTGGGCTCAGTTTCATAGCAGCGCTAGAATGAAATTCTGAGCGAAGTCATAAAGAATGAATGAGGCTGTGGGCACACGAGCCTGTTTGCAGCACAAAAATGTAGTTCTTCTAAATCTGGAACGGTTTGTACTGCTTTCAGTTCCAGATTCCAGATCCTTCCATCCACAAGGGTAGGCATGGCTGCTTGACACACATTTGCAAAATGAACCCCTTAAGTAGGTTACCCAACAGCCTTTGCTTCTCCAGGCGAGTTAAGACAGAAGTGGAGATTGCAATCTTGGTATATGTCCACCCACAACATTATTGGGAAAGTGTAGACACAAACACACACACAAACCACGCATTGCCAGGACTGCCTGCATCTGTTTCCATATGGAACCATTGCAGGTAATGCAGAATCAATCTGCAGTGAGCTTTTGTTTTTGGAACAAAACACAGTTTATCAGTGAGCACTTTCCATGGCGCCAAAAATACACAATCGATCTAGATCCTGTGCGGACTATGTAGAGGGGGAAACCGCCAAGTACTCAGTCCCCACCGATGGTAGAATAAAACGCCATGTGTACTCAGCCTTGATCCACTCGCAGAATCCCAAAACTGTACAGTTGGAAGGGGCCTGTCGAGATCCTCTAGTCCAACCCTCTGCAAAGCAGGAACCACATCTCAAATAATCTCCAAGAGATGGCCACCCACCCAGTCTCTGCATGAAAAACTCCAACAGACAAACTCCACCACCTTCTGAGGGAGTCCATTCCACTGTTGAACAGCTCTCACCCTCAGAAAGTTTTTCCCTACAGGTTTTAGGTTAGATTTTGCCCTGCTGACCTCATCCCGCTGTCTGTGCTGAAAGAGATCCAGTGCGGATCTGCGCTCTCCGCATTATGTGTGCCTGTTAATGCTTTTTGTTGCCCCCTCCTCCTTTCTCGAATGCCAGGAATCTACCTCGTGCCATCTTCATCTCCATCCCATTGGTGACCTTTGTCTACACCTTCACCAATATCGCCTACTTCACTGCCATGTCACCCCAAGAGCTCTTGTCTTCCAACGCTGTGGCGGTAGTAAGTAAAAGCGCCCCTGGACCTTTCCTTTCCTTCCCCTCCCTGTTTTTTCCTTTTTTTAATTACAATTATTCCTGCTCTGTGCCGTGTGGTATTATGTTTCAGTTTCTCTGCCTTTTGTTGCTTTAGACATTTGGTGAAAAGTTACTGGGCTATTTTTCGTGGGTTATGCCCGTCTCTGTGGCTCTGTCTACATTTGGAGGAATAAACGGATACCTTTTTACCTCATCAAGGTTAGACGAAGTACGATTTTGTTTCTTTTTCCGGAATGGGTGAGGGGAAACCTTTTGCTTTCTTGGCTAGCTCTGAGTCTTTGTTGTGGGTCACTTTTGACAGATTTATTCACTCATCTTATTTGTGTCCTGCCCTTCCTCCATATCACTCGCGGTGGTGTATATGGGGTTAAGTCTGTGAGGTAAAAATTAGGTGTAGAATTTGCAGTTTGCTCTAAACCACTCCATTATGTTTTTTTAAAAAACCCGACAGGAACATAAGAACATAGAAAACTGCCTTATACCAAGGCCCAATCCGGACCACACGTTGAAAGCAGGATCCGGCCACTTTCAACAGACATGGCTCCTGCCATAGAACCCCGGGAAGTGTTGTTTGTTGTGGGTGCTGAGTTGTTAGGACCCCGGCCCCAATTTCCCTCAGGGAACTACAGTTCTCAAGAGTGCCCTGGGAAGAGGGATTGATGGTTAAACCATCCTGGGAACTAGCTCATGTAACACTGCCCTGACACAGTATTGTGAAACCTCCTGCAAAAACCAATCAGGATGAATCCTCATCGAACAGCCAACATGATCTCACCTCCCCACAAACTTTGTGCAGAGAAATCTGGATCAATGGTCAATAAACAGGTCATCTGGGTGTGCTGCATGTTTACATGCAAATCACCCAAATGCATCAACAGGTGGAACACTGATAGATTGATTGAAGTTATATACCATCCTATACCAGCAGGCCTCAGGGCAGCTTATATTTCTGTTTTCTTACCATCTTTTTCTCTACTTACTACGAGAAACAGAAGTTAGTCCCTTTGAGGTCAGTTTGGCAGCCTTAAGTAGCCTATTATTATTATTATTATTATTATTATTATTATTATTATTACCCTTGTTGAGCCATCTGTTTGATTTCAAGCCTTTCAGTAGCCAGAAGAAAATGAAGAACAGAAGCTGCTCTCTCCATGATGCAGTTGATGATCTCCTGATCCCACTAACCAGTTTTACTCTTCCTTCTAGACTGTGTTTCTCCGGAGCCCGAGAAGGACATTTGCCCAGCTTGTTGGCCATGATCCACGTCCAACACTGCACCCCCATCCCAGCCCTTCTTGTCTGTGTGGGTATTTCTCCTTTACATACGACTCTGTGCCCAAATAGGCTTCTCAGGGGTTTACAAGCATAAAATGACAAGATGCTTCACTATTCCTCCGATACCAGCTTTTGTGGCTTACAGATACCTCTGAGAGCATCCCAGTGATAAGCATGGGGGGCAGAGTGCATGTTAAGAGGTGTGTGTGTCTGCTTCACAGCAATCCTCTTAAGAAGAGTTCAGGAACCTCTGGCTGAGGGCTGAATGCAACCCTCCAGGCCTCTCACTTGGCCAAGACCTTGCCCAACGCTGTCTCTCCCCTGGTCACACCTCTTGCCTTGCTTACATGCTTTTACCTGGTGGGAAGTCACCCTTGGCAGCGGTCATGCATCTTGCTTGCCTGAAAGGAGGATGGAGAGCTGCCTCCCTTTGACCGCTGCCTGCCTGCTCCCCTTCTTGCAATCACATAACAAGAGTCTTCTGGATCAGACTGATGGCCCGTCTAGTCCTGCAACTTCTCCTCACGGTGTCCAAACAATCGCCTGTGGGAAACCAGCAAGCAGGGCCCAAGAGGACTCTCTCCTCCAGCCAGTGTGGTGTAGCGGTTAAGAGCGGTGGACTCGTAATCTGGTGAACCGGGTTCGCATCCCCGCTCCTCCACATGCAGCTGCTGGGTGACCTTGGTCTAGTCACACTTCTCTGAAGTTTCTCAGCCCCACTCACCTCACAGAGTGTTTGTTGTGGGGGAGGAAGGGAAAGGAGAATGTTAGCTGCTTTGAGACTCCTTAAGGGGAGTGAAAGGTATCTAGATTCTATTATTCCTGGTAAAGACCCCTTGAATCACTCTTAAAAGAATAAAGACACCACAGTCTTATTCATAAGTAACAAAAAGTAGTTTTGCTCACGATCAGGCAGAGCACAGTGCGATCCCTGAAGGCAGGCTTTAGGCTTAAAGTTACAAACGTTTACAAATAGTTTACCCCATATGGGAGTCGACCTAGTGACTGCAGACTAGCAGTCCAGGAAGTTTGCAGGACAAAATGGGAAGCAGTGTGACTTGGCCTTTTACCAGGTCTGGAAAGGTCACGCCCACCTACTAGTCACATGCAAGGAAGGATGCTCCAGGCCAGGAGGAACAGGAAGTTTTGACTGGCTGGACCAAACATTCCCTTGCATGTCCATTCTAGCAAAGCAAGGAATGTTGTACTTGACTGCTCCCAGTGGATTACCGGTACATCCCACAATAGGAAGTTGCGTTAAACTGAGCCAGACTCCGTTGAGGTTTAAAGTTTTATGTATGTGCAGCTCTCCAGCTCTCTTACAATGAAATCGCAACACAACATAGCAGAAAAATCCCAGCATAAAAAACTGAATAAAAGCAATAAATCTAAAATAAATAAAAATACTCCTTAGAATCATTATTCTTTATTGAATTTATATCCCATCCTCCCCTGAAGCCTTCACTTAGTGCCAAAAAGAAAGCTTGTCGAACTTCCGAGAGAATTGCTGAGTGCACATTTAAAGCACATTCCCCATCCCCCCAAATTCCTGGGGACCATAGTTTGTTAAGAGTGCTGGGAATAATAGCTCGAGCCAACTACAATACCCAAGATTCCTGGGGCTGCACACTTTTCAGGCATGCTTTTAATACGCAGTGTGTACACAATATAGAAGAGCCTCGGGGCTGATGGAAAAAGTATGCCCTGTCCAGGGAGTTGCAATAAATAAAACATAGACATGAGAAGGTTTCCTTGCTTTTCTTCCAGTAATTTTTCCATTTCCATTTCTTCTTCTTTCCCCAGTGTCTGGCCACAGTGGTCATCATGCTTGTTGGGGACACCTACACATTGATCAATTATGTGTCCTTTATCAACTACCTCTGCTACGGAGTGACAATAATCGGTTTGATTGTGCTGCGCTGGAAGAAGCCCAAAATCTTCAGACCCATCAAGGTGAAAAATATTGGGGCTCTCCGAATGCACCCTCTCTTGATTCTTTAGGGGTTTGGTAGGCTTGCGGATGATGCTCACTTCCCATGACGCACCTGGAGGAGGAGTGAAAGGGGAGGCTTTCCTTGCAGTCCTGTCAGCAGCCACAACCACGCAAAACGGTCCTCTCATCTGCCACCAGCCCAGGGGGTGATCTCCAGACTGTCACTGCTTTGGAAGGAGGGGCTCAAACAAAGACAGGAAGTTTTGGTGTACAGCATCACAGCGGCTCAAAGTTTGGTCCATGATGACAAGTGGGGCAACCTCAGCCTCGTTCCAGGAGGTGGCATCACTGCCTGCCAGTTTCCTCCTCCTCCTCCTCCTCCTCCTCCTATTTTTCTCCTTCTCCCAGGAGGAGGAGAAAACTAGGTTTGGGCCACTCCCCTTCCCTCTGCCCCACTACAAGGGGCACCAGCTACCACTGGTTAAGTGGTCCTGCCACCCTAGAGCAGAAAATCCACTTTAAAAAACAAACAAACCATACTGTACTACTGTACATACTGCAGCCAGGAAAGTGATGGATAAACACCCTGGGAAGATTAGGCTGCACGAATGATTGACAGGGAGGCCCACAGGCAGCCCAGGCCGAATGTGCGCCATCCTATATCTGCCCCACAAACAAATGAGAATGGATGCCCAAGAAAGGTCAGACACAGTTTGACCTCCGCGTAAGCTTTGTGACAGCAGATCTGGGTGGTTGATCAGGAAACAGGTTGCCCAGAGAGGCCCTTCCTTCACCAGAGGGAGAATTGGGCAGGAGAAGGGGGTTGTGCTCTGCCGCTGCAGCTTCCATCTTCTTCCAGATTCCTCCAAATACTGGCACAGCAAAGGCAAGAATGGGGACAAGGGGAGGGTACCATGATGATGAGGGACATCTCCTGTGAGAATGGTAGGAGTATCCCATGAGCTGTAGTAGCTTTTGTGACAGTGGGAGGTGGCACCTATTCATGTAGGTACCTTAGTCGATTCCTGTAAAGGACACACTTTCAATTTTTGCAGTCTGGCACAAAACCAGTTTTGCAGGTTTCTCCAATGCTTTGTTCAGCATTCTGGGAAAAGGAGAATCTGCACCCCATTCAGTTCACCTTTTATTGTGTTAAGTCACAACAAAGAAATTCAGTCCCATCACGGCAAACTAGCAGGGTGGCAACACACAGGTGTGTATTTCTGGAAAATGGTTGGGTAGTTCCCAGGGTTCTCTTGAGTTAAATTGTGAATATGTATTGTGTATTTAACATATTTTTTACCTTTCCTTTCATTTTTATAACTCCGAAGGTGGTCCTCAGTCCACGTTTGAAAGCAACCCACTCTCAAAATCCTTAAATACTTTACTGAAAACAGGAAACAAGACAACAGATTTATTAATCTTTTAATGAAAGAACAGGAATGACTGAGTTTCATGTCTGAGAGAGGATTTGAAACTGGGCCTCCTCAATCAGTTAATAACTATTATTACTGATGATTATTATTACAAACATTATTATTACATATTACCTATTATTAGTATTACCTATTGAAGTTGTTTTAAATTGTTTTTGATATTTGTGTTTAAATTGTTGTAACCTACCCTGGGACCCTAGTGTGAAAGGTGGGTGAAAAATTGTAATAAAATTGTTCTCCAACAGTACATTTAATATATTTAAATCCCAGTTTTCCTCAAATGAGCTCAAGACAGCCTAAAGGTCCTCCTTGCCCCTTTCATTTTCTCCTCGTAACTATCATGGGTGGTCTAGTTTGGCGGTGAGGCAGTGACTGGCCCATGGCCCAAGGTCACCCCAGTGAGATTCATGGCCAAGTGGGAGATTTGAACCCAGGACTCCGCACCTTAGCCCAACACTCTAACCGCTACACCACACTGCCTCTCAATCTATCATCACACCTTTGATGCATACAGGGCAAAGGGAATTGGGAGGAAACGCCAGGCTTCTGTACACTTGCCGTTTTTTTCCCCTCTCAGGTTAATCTCCTGGTTCCAATCACTTACCTGACATTTTGGGCCTTTCTCTTGATCTTCAGTTTATATTCTGAGCCAGTAGTCTGTGGAGTTGGACTGATTATCATACTAACTGGAGTGCCAGTGTTTTTTATTGGAGTATACTGGAAAAACAAACCAAAGTGTGTAAATAGGATAACAGGTAAGCGGGGAACCTGTGGGAGGGTGCCTCTACGGGGAGTAAAAGCTGCGGTCACCATAGAGACGGGATAAAGGATGTTGATTATGTACGGAGAAAATGTCGCCGGGTTCAGGGTAGTCACAGATTTCAACAGCCTATTTCTGAATGTGTGCAGTGTGGGCAGAGAGATTTGAATTTGGGGCTTTCCAAAGCCCATCATCCTGTGGTCACAAGGGCCAACTCGAGGTCTGTTCTTGAAGTGGGCAACATTCAGTTTTTCTGTCCCATCTCGCATCTTGTTGTGGGTGGTGGGGAGGCAGGAAGGGTCGTGGCTCAATGGCAGAGCAGAGCAAGGCCCCAGATTTAATCCCCAATAACAGCATCTTCGGGTAATGCTGAGAACAGGCTCCTACCTGAAACCCTGGAGAGCCACTGCTGCCAGTCAGTGTAGACAGTGCTGAGCTAGATGGATCAAGGTAGCTTCTTCTGTTCTTCCTCTGACTGGCCAGCTACTCTCCAGGGAGTTTGGGAACAAGGTCCCTCACCTCACCTGCTACATGATCTTCCTAACTCAGGGATGAATGGGCACCTGTGGGCCTCTGAATGTCGTGGCGCCCATAATCTCTTGATTACTGACCGTACTGAATGGGACTTTTTAGTTTAGAGAAAAGGCGAGTAAGAGGCAGCACAATAGGAAGTTATAAAAGTGATGTGTGGAGTGGAGAAAGTGGCAAGAAAAAAGTTTTCCTCCCTCACTCTCATAACACTCGAACTTGTAGACACATCCAAGGAAGCTGAAAAGCTGGAAGATTCAGGGCAGATAAAGGAAAGGACTTCCTTACATAGGTAAAGTTAAAGGGACCCCTGACCATTAGGTCCAGTCGTGGCTGACTCTGGGGTTGCGGCGCTCATCTTGCTTTATTGGCCGAGGGAGCTGGTGTACAGCTTCCAGGTCATGCAGCCAGCATGACTAAGCCGTTTCTGGCGAACCAGAGCAGCGCACGGAAACGCCGTCGACCTTCCCGCCAGAGCAGTACCTATTTATCTACTTGCACTTTAATAATAATAATAATTTAAAAAAAAATTATTTATATCCCGCCCTCCCCAGCCAAAGCCAGGCTCAGGGCGGCTAACAACAATAAAACAGTACAAAAGTACAGCATAAACAATACTCTAAAATCATTCATTATAAAATTAATTAATTCAAGCCACTGGGAACCATTGGGCCAGAGCTCCGCGAAGATTGCCGAGGGAGGGAGTCAGGCTGTGCCCTGGCCAAAGGCTTGATGGAACAGCTCTGTCTTGCAGGCCCTGCGGAAAGATGTCCATTCCCGCAGGGCCCTGGTCTCTTGTGACAGAGTGTTCCACCAGATCGGAGCCACAGCCGAAAAAGCCCTGGCTCTAGTTGAGGCCAGCCTAACTTCTCTGTGGCCTGGGACCTTCAAGATGTTTTTATTTGAAGACCGTAAGTTTCTCTGTGGGGCATACCAGGAGAGGCGGTCCCGTAGGTACGAGGGTCCTAGGCCGTAAAGGGCGTTAAAGGTTAAAACCAGCACCTTAAACCTGATCCTGTACTCCACTGGGAGCCAGTGCAGCTGGTATAGCACCGGGTGAATGTGATCTCGTGGCAAAGACCTCGTAAGGAGTCTCGCTGCAGCATTCTGCACCCGCTGGAGTTTCTGGGTCAGTCTCAAGGGCAGCCCCACGTAGAGCGAGTTACAATAATCCAGTCTGGAGGTGACCGTCGCGTGGATCACAGTGGCTAGGTCAGGGCGAGAGAGGTAAGGAGCCAACTGCTTAGCTTGGCGGAGATGGAAAAATGCCACCTTTGTTATAGCTGCAATCTGCGCCTCCATGGAAAGGGAGGTGTCGAAGATTACACCCAAACTCCTAACGGACGGTGCTGGCACTAATTGCGCCCCCGCAAGAGATGGGAGTTGCCCCCACAATCCCATATCGCCCCGTCCCAGCCAGAGGACCTCTGTCTTCGAAGGATTTAGCTTCAACCGGCTCCCACGTAACCATCCAGCCACAGCTTCCAAACATCTGGTCAGTGTGTCTGGGGCCGAGTCAGGATGGCCATCCATCAACAGATAGAGTTGGGTGTCATCGGCATACTGATGGCAACCCAGCCCAAAACTCCGAACAAGCTGGGCGAGGGGGCGCATAAAGATGTTGAAAAGCATCGGGGAGAGTATCGCACCCTGAGGTACTCCACACACCAGGGAGTGGCGCGATGACAATCCTCCCCCCCAAGTGCCACCCTCTGTCCCCGACCAGAGAGAAACGAGCGCAGCCATTGAAGGACTGTGCCCTGGATCCCCACGTCGGCAAGGCGGTGGTCCAGAAGTTCGTGATCGACCATGTCGAAAGCTGCTGACAGATCTAGAAGAATCAGCAGCCCCGAACCGCCTTGATCCAGCTGTCTACGAAGCTCATCTGTTAGGGCAACCAGAGCCGTCTCGGTCCCATGATCAGCGCAGAAGCCGGACTGGAATGGATCCAGAGCCGATGTTTCATCCAGAAACCCACCAAGCTGTTCAGCAACCGCTCTCTCAATCACCTTACCCAGGAACGGAAGATTCGAAACCGGGCGGTAATTGGATAGATCTAAAGGATCAAATGATGTTGTCTTTAAGAGCGGGCGCACCACTGCCTCCTTCAGTTCCCCTGGGAATGTCCCCGTGCCAAGGGACAAATTGATGATATCCCCCAGGAGGGCCCGCACCTCGTCTGGACACGCTCTAATCAGCCAAGACGGGCACGGGTCGAGAGGACAGGTGGTGGGCTTTCCAGCTCGGAGGAGTCTGTCCACATCGGCTGGGGATATCCGGTCGAAGTGGTCCAATACTGGACCCGAGGACAGTCGAGGGGCCTCCAGTTCCTTTATTGTATCCAAATTGGCAGGGAAGTCATGGCGGAGCAACAAGACCTTCTCCGCAAAAAAGCTCGCAAATGCCTCGCAGCTGTGTGTCAAATTGTTATTTAAATTTGGCTGTCCCTCAAGGGACGTTAAAGACCTGATTATACTAAATAATTGCGCTGGGCGAGAGCTAGCGGATGCAATGGAGGCCGAGAAGTATGACTTCTTCACAGCCTTCACCGCCATCTCGTAGGTTTTCATAAAAGCCCTATAAGACGTTCTTGAGTCTCCGTCACAGGCACCCCGCCATACTCGCTCTAGCCGTCTGAGGTCCCACTTCATTTTCCGGAGCTCCTCGGTAAACCAGGGAGCCCGGTTTCTGCGGGGTCGCGGAGGGCGCTTAGGTGCGATCTCATCAATGGCTGCCAGGAGCTGGATATTCCATGCTGGGTATTTGACATGCTTTCGAACTGCTAGGTTGGCAGGAGCAGGGACCGAGCAACGGGAGCTCACCCCGTCGTGGGGATTCGAACTGCCGACCTTCTGATCAGCAAGTCCTAGGCTCTGTGGTTTAACCCACAGTGCCACCCGCGTCCCCTTCCTTACATAGCACAGTGTTAAACTGTGGAACTCACTGCCACAGGAGGCAGCAACGGCCACCTACGTGGATGGCTTTAAAAGAGGATTAGACAAATTCATGGAGAGAGCTATCGATGGCTGTCCTCTGCCTCTGCAGTTGGAGGCAGGGATGCTTCTGAATACCAGTTGCTGGAAACCACAGGAGTGGGGAGGGTTATTGTGCTGGAATCCTGCTTGCTAGTGTTTGTGGGGGGCGGGGAGGCTCAGTTAATTTCATTGTACGTAGGTTGTACATTGACAATACAGGTACTATTATTATTAGCTGCCTGCAGGCATCTGGCTGGCCACTTCTGAGAACAGGATGTTGGACTAGATGGGCCATTGGCCTACTCCAGGAGGGCTCTGCTTCGGACTGTTGGGAGCTGGATTCCCAGGACATTCCAAGGAACAGGCTCCCCACCCCTGCTTTTAAGTGGAGATGCCAGTGGCCATTAAACTTTCTGCAGGAAAAGTGGGACCTCTGTGACTGAGCTAGATTCAGCCACTGACTGGTGGATGTTCTGGCTACAGTTAAACTGACTGCTTGACGACTTCCTCTTTTCCAGAGTCCTTGACGCACTGGGGCCAGAAGGTGTGTTTTGTAGTCTACCCACAAGGGGGTTCTATTGAAGAGGATGATCTACCTTTCACTCACTCACCCCTCCAGGAAGAGAAAAGACCTTGAAGAAATAACGATATATTTTACACACGAGAAGTAGATTTTTGTTGTTGTTTTTGTTTACATGATGATTTTTTTTTTGAAAAAAGAAAAATCTTGATTTTTTTTTTTTTTTTTAGAAATCCAATAGTAAAATGTATAAAATGAGATACACCTTTTCAGCAGCTATAGTGGACCGTTAATAGCACTTAGCTCTTTTTCCTAAAAAGAAAAAAGAAGAAAAAAAGAGTAAAAAATAAAATAAAATAAAATGAGCTGGCTTGTTTCTTCCTAGGGATGTATTTCTGTCAAGTGATATATTTACATTCAGGCCCAATATGTAAAATTCTGACTGTTGTTGCTTATTCCGGTAGTTCTAAAGAACTTCTGTAAAGTTTCGCCATGAGAAAATAACACATTTAAGGAAGTGATGTGAAGTAGTGCAATTTGTTGAAAACAGCTTTGACTGACAATGCAGAAGTGCATGATGACAGCTGCTTTCTGCAATAGTTCCTGGGCATCTCAATGCTTGCCTCTATCACTTTCTTTTTTTATGTGTCTTGTACAGACAAACCCTGCCCCCATTGACTTGAAGCCCTTCCTTCCACAAAAGAAGGTTCATCCAGGGCATTGGGTTATTTCCATTAACTTATGACTCTGAACCTAAAACCTATATCCTCCTTTAACATATGCAGATTAAAGGCTTGTTGAAAAGACCACCCATCATCACTTGATTCAACAATGAAGGACCAGAGGGTGAATGAGAGAGCAGGGACCCCAGAAAAATATTCCCCATAGGGGGTTTTAAACTGTCCATCCCTCTTCCAGGAGACTCTGGGAACTGTGGCTCTGGGAGAGGAATGGGCGTCTCCTAACAGCTCTCAGCACCCTTAATAAACTACAGTTCCCAGGGCTCTTTGGGGGAAACCACAGCCATTTAAAATGGTATAAGACTGCTTTAAATTTATAGTGCGAATGGGGCCTTGGATTGAAAGGTCTCTTTCACCAGGTGCCAGCTGATAGTCTTTTCTTAAACCGGAGTTACCGGACAAGAGGAAAAGGTCCTTCTGATGAAGATGCACTTTGATTGGGGTGATTGTAGGTGAGATTGGTGCCCTTTGACTTGTCAAATGAGAGAACCAGGCAGCTGAAGTTTTGAACCCTGATCACCCATGAGGGTGCCCTGGCGTGATCCAGACACAGAGCGATACAAATCATATGAAACATTCACCCTCCCACATGGTGACATCACTTTTGCCAAATCAGAAATTAAAATACATATAAACTGCTGAGCATTTTGAAGACTGAAAGCTTTTCTGCATGATCATAAATGGGGAAAGGGTTTTGCTTTTATTGAACTTGCCAACACGTGAATGGGTCGCCTCTGGATCATTCTGAGGACTAATCTATGAAAACTTTTAAAACTGCCAACTCTGGGATCCTTGGGATCCTCTTTTTCCTTCCCATTTCTTGAGAAACCCACATCTGATGCCCTCATCACCTTACTCTTCAGCTACTTCTTCCAGACGAAACCCCATTTCTCCTCGGAGCGTTCTGTGTGAAGCTCCATCAGTTTGGAATGGGGCACTAGGCAAAAAAAACCAAAAAAGCCATGAGGCACAAAATCAAGTACAGTGGTACCTTGGTTTAAGAACAGCTTAGTTTATGAACAACTTGGATTAAGAACACTGCAAACGAAGTAGGTGTTTTGGTTTGTGAACTTTGCCTTGGAAGCAGAACATGTTTTGCTTCCTGTCGAGTGTGTTCCATTTGTAAATTGAGTCCCCCGCTGCTATGGGAAAGCACGCCTTGGTTTAAGAATGCTTTAAGAACGGACTTGTGGAACGGGTTAAGTTCGTAAACCAAGGTACCACTGTATTCTTAAAGATCCTCAAGTTTTGTTTTTGAAAGAGCAAATATTTAGGTTTCAACATAAACAAAGCTTTTTTATTGTATTTTTGTTAAGTTGACCTCATTAGAAGCCAAGGAAAGTGGGTCCTCAGAGGGGAGGGCTTCAGGCCCAAAGGAAGCACCTGCAACTTTGCATCATTTATATGGGTCAGAAAAATCCACTTGCCATCTCTCATCGATTGGGCTAGGTAAGATTTTATATCCCCCACCACTGTAGATTACACAGAGAGCCCTGACTACGTCTTAAGATATTGCTGTGTCAATAGCTCCAAGCTTACTTCTGTCAGCTGCACAACCCCTAGCACACAGAGATACAACCGTCCCTCCTACCACCAAGCCATTGCTTACTCCTGGGTGAAGGAGCACAGAGGGAAAGATGGGGAAATAACACAATCCCAAAGCAGGCAAAGTCATCCTATTCTTGGATTGACCTCAGCAGAACTGACCCGCCAGATGGAAAAGGATGGCCCTGGGTATCAAAGGGAGGTGCTGGACTGACAGTCCTGAGGCTGAAAATTTTAACAGATGCTGCCTAAGGAGGGGGAGAAAATCCAATCAAGTCTTCTTGATCAGGAGGGGAATTACTTCACAGCCACAGCAAAGACCACCCACGCTGCATGTTCAGTGATGCCAAGAGCTTGGGGGGTCGCTTTGCGCGGTTCGTCAATTCCACGTCTCAGGACTGGCTTGCTCATGCCTATTTGCTAATTAAAAAGAAGAAAAACGCCACTAAAAATGCCCGTGAAAATATCTGCATCGAATGTGTTTTGGATAAACATGTTAGCACTAGACATGTTCTTCTACCGTTTACTAAATGACGGGCAGCAAACCACTAGGCAATCTTTGCCGATTTGTGATATTGTGAACCAACTGCTATGCTGTCAGTGTTGTATTTTAAGCAGCAAGTCCTCTTTGTTGCTGCAGAGCGTAGAGAGCGGCTTGTGTTTATCACAAATGTGTGCAACATTGACGACAGTGATAAAGCACTTGCCATCTGTTGATGGCTTTTGGAAACTCGTCCTCTGGAGGTTGCAGAGTCTCCCTCTCCAGCCCTGAATGTGCAACTCGTCTAATCTGTTTTAGTAGCAAAGGGCTGTCCTTGCAGCAATTCTACCTACTTCTGTCCAGAATATAGACAGGCCTGCGTATCAACACAGATACAGAAAATCAAACGCAGAATGTGACATTAGCCACAGAATTCTGCACTTTCTAAGAATCTCAGAGCTTTCATTTAAAATCAGCAGCAACACTGACTCTAAATTTCTAGCCCTTATGTTTGAAGATACATTTGAAAATGTGGGGACAACACCTAATTAAATATCAGCATCCAGAGGACTTTTTGGATAAGATATATAGTGGTCAAAGGATGGGGCTTCAGCCTCCTGCTCTACTTCATTACTAGAAGAATCAAAGTACAGATTCAGGATAAAATACACCAAGCAAGAGGAAACATGCAAAGCTGATCGCTTTCCCCGACTCACACAAATCACGTCTCCTCCTCCCCTTTGAAGCACAAATCATGCCCGGACAGCGCAATTCTGACTCAGCTTTTTCACAAGCTTTATTACAGGAATGGGCCTTGTTCAAAAAAATAATTTCCCCAAAATATCTTTTGGAAAAGCTCCGAGAAATCTTCTCGGTGATATTAACTTTAAATAAACGAGTAATGCATGCTAGTTCTGCCAAGAGATGCTACCGCTTGCAAGATTTTGAATTCAGAACTTTCCAGATAAACTAAACAAGTGGGACCCTCCACAAAATGTTGCATGTCATCCTCACCTCCCAACAGAAACATTCCTATTCAGGCTTCCAGCCAGCTATGCTTTCTCCAGGACACTTCATTCCACCACCCACTCCCAGTTTCCTTGTCTGCTTTTTGAATTGACTAGGACTATGGAGCATGCACAGTTCTCACTGGGAAATTTTTTAAGGGGAGTCCCCTAAGGTGGTTGCGTTTTTTTAAAAAGAAAATATATTTCTACCTCTGCAATCCTCGAAGGTCCTCCAACCAAGCTGACACGTCCTTCTAGTTTGCCAGGGGCCATGGTTTGGCATTCAGCTCCTGCATTCACTAGTAAGAGGAAGGGATGGTTCAAGTACCATTGACGGGTCTTGTGCAACCCATCTCACAAAGGAAAGACAATGTTAGGTTAGTTTAATTACTTTTTGCTTTGACAGAAAGATAGTTGAAACATTTTCATTTCCTTGGTAATTTGTAAAGGGTGACAGATGACGTCTCTAAAGTTCACAATAAAAAAAGCATTTTGCTGATGCAGCACGCTCTGATTTATACCATCCCCGCTTAAGGCACACAACCACTTGGGTCCAGCCAAAACCAAGAAATTTAAATTCAACTTTAAGGGGGTTAAAGAAATAGAGAGTATTGCTAGGCACCCTGAACCACTCTGTATACCTGATTGTATTATCACTGCTCCTCACTGCCCTTAACTTCAAAAACAACTGAAAAGGTATTTTTAAGTGACAGAATGCCAGAGAAACATTTGGTTACGTTGTTAAAAAGCAATCAGCACTCTGAGAAACGGCTACTAATGGCTATGCTGGCTGCATACCAGTGCCCAGCAAGTGCGCTCAGGTCCCATCGATTACCATGGAACTGCAACACATACAGCAGCGCAGAGACTGCAGCCACAAAAAAATAAAGCAGTCTATGGGAAAACGAAAAGGGAATGGCAAGGACAAGCGACTGAAGTATTCTTGGAGACAGCTCAGGGGTTGCCTGAGGGGGTTGGAATCGTGTCCTCCCAGCCAATGGTGGGACCTCATGCGACTCCCAGCAGCAAGCGCATGGGTGGTCCGACTTCCCCCATGCCACTGCTGAAGAGGGTCTGTGCACATTTACAAAGAGACCAGAAGTGTCCTCTGTCAACTTACCGCCAGTGACATGACTTGGGGAACTGTGGCTGGTTTAAACTCACTAGGTTCCCAAAGTATAACGTACCACATGATGTTCAGAAAAAAATGTTGATTTTTCCCCTCTTTTGTTTGTTATGTAGTCTTTTAAAAACTCAATTCTAGTTGCAGAGAACAAAGCGGAATCAAGATGTGGTTTCAGATCCATGTTTGCTCCCTAAGGAGGGTTTGGCAAGCTACTGTTCCCTGAGCTCAGAAGTAGCATTGAGCCATGCGGTTTGTTTTTGAAATCACACGTGGGTGCTCCTTTAGTACATGGAAGAGGGAGCGTGAACAAGCCCAAGGCTCCTTTATACGGCAAGAAACCAGGACTTCTCATTATGCCTGAACCTCCATGAGCTTTCAGGAAAGCTATTACATCACTATTTATGTTCTCACCAGTGAGTATCTGAAGAACTGACCAGTTCTCTGGAACTCCCTTCGAAAACCATGGAAAATCTGCTAGCTCAGTATAATTCTCAGGGCAGTATGTGAATTTAATAAATAGATAAATAAATAATAGTAATAATAAAGCAGGGATATGGACCCTGTGACCCTCCAGATGTTTGTTGCTGGCCTCCAACTCCCTTCAGCCTCGGTCAGCATGCCCAGTGATGGGAAATGTATAACCCCTGAGGTCCACAGGCTACCCAGTTCTGGTAAAAAGCACCTCCCAATTCACAGTTCTATGCACTCAGCTAACATTGGAAACTCGGGATGGGGGTGGGTAAAAGGGGTCCACAAACCTACAATAAACAACAGCTCAACAAATACCCTTGTAAAACTGATCCAACTTAATTCAACATAAAACTCCTACTGAAATCAGCCTTTGCTACAATCCCACTATAATCAAAACTTGGCTGCTTTGTTGTTACAGTGGCACAGCAACTGGAAAATGCAATTATTTTCTGTGAATGAAGGATATGGAACCTTTGGCTGCCACTGGCATTTCTCCATGGGTACCGTGACGAAGAGAGCAAGCAAATGAGTGGATGTAGCTTTTTTGTTCTTGTTTCAAAATGGGGTGGGGAGGTATGAAAGGAAAGGAATGTGATGCTCCCTGCCTTTGGTTTCCTGTTAAACGATTTACCCCAGGGCTCTGTAAATATAGCTTTAATTTAGACAAATATTCTAAATCGCCAATAATTGGATCTCTCCAGTTGAGCGGTCCGTCATAATTACTTGTGCCTGGTGCCTTGCTTTGCCTGCTGGATGAATCCCCTCCAGCATATGAATGAGAAGCTATAAGCTGACTTTTATCTCGGAAAGCAGAGGGGAAAGCGCCTTTCACAAACAGAAGGAACAAGCGGATTTAGGGAAGCGTCAAATTGCAAAGGCAGATCTGCTGGGGCGGGTGTTGTGTGTTCACCCACCCACAGATCAAGGTCAGCTGGGGAAAACTGTAGCCAGGGGGGTCCCTATGGTAGGCAGATGCAGAGCTGCATATTTTCTTCTTCTTCTCAGAGACACAGCGGCTTTCCAGAGTTACGCCTGTGTGCTGTGCAGAAACCCCCCTGGGTCAGTTTCTCCCTGGTAACCACAGATTGTGAAGCGAGGGCACCAGGGAGGCCTCCCAGCATATGTCATTATAAGCAGTGGAAGAAGCACAGCCGATACAGGCAGATGAATTGAGATTTAACAGTTCCTTTCTCTAACCTGCCGGCACAGAACTTTCCCCCACCTGCCTTTCCCGTACCAGGAACATATTGCACCTGCCAGGTGTTTTGTGCATCTGACGATGGCTACAAAACACTTATGCCACACACACACACAAATGGAGGTGCCAAAACTGACAACTGGTATATTTTAATGACTGTAGCCTGCTAGTCAGAAATCTGTATGCAGATACGAAAGGAGATGGCAAGACAGTCCAAACTGCAAGCCCTTTCGGAAGAATAACTGTGTCTTGTATGTATAACATGTTATACAAGTAAATGCTTTGTTTGTTTGTTTGTTTTGTTTTTAAAGAAGAAAAGTATGATCGTGTGAACACGCTCTCATCAGCTGCTGATACCACATTTGTCCTACTGAACCTTGCTGGAGATGTGCTGCAACAGAAGTGGTGATGTTGGTGGCGGATGGTGTGCACCACAATTTAATGAAAGGTGTCCCCTGAAAGAGCCCAGCAAAATCCAATTAGCAGACCAGTAAAGACTCGTCGTCGCTGGGGGTGACTTCTGAGAGAGGGGGAGGGGATTCGAGGATTGGCACTTCCATGGAATGGCAACAAGCTGGGCGAATGCCCAAAGGCTCTTCGCGATATGACTGGGGGCAACAACAGTGTCGGCCGTCCCCCTGAACAGGGACATTCACGGGGCTGTCAGAGTATATCGACTCCCACTTTTTGAAGGGGAGCCGGCATGGCTCTTCGCTCAGCAAATTATTCCTGCTGGAGCTTCTGCACTCGGCAACAGTCCTGCTAGACGCCGAACCCCCACCCTGGTGCGTTTCTGCCACCCTCTCCAACAAAGGGTCTCTGAACGTTTTCCCTGAATCAGCCTTGCTGGTCTGCCTGATCTCACCGCTGGGAGGGTCTTCAGTACCCGAAGGCTTGTCATGTCCGTCCTCCGGCTCTGAGAGAGCTGCTGTGCAAATGTTTGACAGAACGTCTGAGGGGGGCGATTCTGCAGCTTCTGTCTCTGAAGGCAAATGGCTGTTTTCAGATTCCAGGAGTCCCCGGTTTGGGCTGCAGCTCCCCGTTTCAACATTAGTTCCCTCGGGAGAAGCTGGGGGGCTCTGGGGGGCCGCGCCATCTGTGCGATTGATGATTCCATCCCCTAGCACTGTCTGGGAAGTGTGGGTGGGGTTCAGCAGCGGGATCTGAGCCCTCACCCGCGGCCGGTGGAAAAATCTGTTCCACAACCTGCCCAAGCGCCGGCGGGATGAGCTCCTCCTGGACGAATGGCGACGCATCTGCCTCCTCATGGCCGTTCGGATGTTCTGCAGGACGGAGGCCTATGAAGACAAACAGAGTGGGTTCTTTTTTTGCCTTCCTAGCTTTCATTCAAAGATAATACACTAACATCCTGGCCAGTGTCAGAAGACGGGAAGGAAGCCATCCTCAGAAAGGAAGCCAGAGGAACCTCTCAGCCCACGACACAGCAACCTCTCCCCAATCTCTTCTTTCCTCTTGAACCTCCTGACCTCACAAATGCAGGGGATTATCGGGATTATCCAGCGCCAATGGCCACCTCTGTTTCAGCCTCCAGCAGTGCAAAAGGCGGATGCACGAAAAGCCCCCAAAAAGCCCAAACCAGAAACATAAAGCAGATCTCCCTGCTTGTGTAACTAAATACAGAGCTTCGGCCATAATAGGATCACGCTGTAGAGGCTGGATGCATTTGCCAGGGCTGGGGGAAATGCAAATACAAAACAAAATCCAATCACTGCCGGGTGTGTGTGGAGGACTTGTGTATACAAGTATCCCCATGATTTTCTAGGTGAAAAGTGGTGAAAATATCATAGCAAAAAGTGAATTTATTTTCTCTTTCCTCACAGGGTTCTGGCAAATAAACATCAAATCTCTTCATTTTCAAAGCTCACCTTTGCCAAATCCATCTCACAAAGATAAACGCTTGGGTTTAGCAATACTACAGTACTTTAGGGTGGGGGTACCTGTGGCCCTGTTGAGTTCCAGCTCCCAACAGTCTCTGTCAGCATGCCCAATAGTCAGGGGTGGCAGTCTCAACAACATCTGGAGGGTCACAGATGTTCCCCATCCCTGCAGTATTTTAATGCATTAAAACTGTATTGACGTGTAATCAAACATTAAGGACCAGGCTGCATGTTGCTTTAAAACATATCATTTGGCCTTGCACAGATCTCTTCCTCGCTATAAACAGCAGCCACTGGGAATCGTATAAAGATCAGGCCTGTGAGATGTTGTGGGGGGGCAATCATTCCCTTCTCTCAATTAAAATACCTGTCTGCAAAATACAGAATTAGTTGGCTGGCTGATGCTGGATTATTGCCTGGGTGTGTCATTTTGTAATCATGATGTCAACAATTTATTCAAATAACCAACAGGCACCTCAATCATTCAGGTTCTCGATGTTGTGAGCAAGCCGCAGTCCTAATTGTGTTTTGATCGGACATGTCAGAGAAATGTCATCCAAAACAAAACATCTGAAGAGCATCGAGAGGAACAGAATGAATCTCAATGCATTTAGACGTGGGGGGAGTGTCATATTCATCCCTACTTTTCATATAAAAATGTTTGCAAAACATAATACAGGGGAACCTCGGTTTTCAAACATAATCCATTCCAGAAGACCGTTTGACTTCTGAAACGTTTGAAAACCGAGGATCAGTGGGTGGTCGGCAAAATCCATTGAAAAAAATGGAAAAACACACAGTGGAAGCTGTTCGACTTCTGAGGCGTGTTCAAAAACGGAAGCAATTATTTCTGGCATTCAGGTTCCGAATTGTTCGACTTACGAGACACTCAAAAACCGAGGTTCTACTGTACTTCCCCTCAACAAATACAAAACTTTGTTTCTGTTGTGTGGAGCTCACTCTGAAGGAGTACCACAGAACGCAGGAGAAATGCTTTCTAGCTCAGTCAAAAAGTGACTGCATTGTTAGTACAAAGCAAGGCATTTTCAGATCCAGACTCTACTTGCGTTGCAATAATGGGTAGATGACAGAGTCATTTACCTGTGATGCGTTGTAAACAGGGAAGTCTTCCACAGGTGGAATCAGGCCCTGTGCGATCAGTTGACCATAGGAAGGGGGAGCTTCACGCCTCACAAACTCCGCCTCAAGACGGGTCATCTGGGTTTCAAATGCCCTGGAATCGGGGTGGGGAGGGAGGGAGAGAAGAGAAGAGAAGAGGAAAGCTGGCTGGATTAGAATAGACCAGGTGGGCATCTTTTCTGAGACTGCCATGGCTCAAAGTAGAAGTGACAAAGGCTACCACCCACTCATGACTAAGGCTGCAACCGGAGGCTTTCTTGGCCTAAGGACATGCGGTGCACTACCGCCATCAAACTGGAGCACCCACTGGGGCACCTGCATGGCTCTAACCTAGCCACCATCCCTTCTTGCCCCCTCCAGATAAGCACCATTAATGCCAATGCCAGGAGGATGGCTCCCCAGTCCTGCACCGCCATACTGTCAGTTTGACAGTATGAGACTTCTTGTGCTGTGCATGAAACATATCAGGGCTGGGTTCCGAAGCAATGTTCCTGGGCATAATCAACAAGCTCAAGCACTCTCTCTCTGCCTCTTGGCTGGCTGGCTACAGAGAAGACCTCCCACCTGGTTTGCAATGCCCAAACTTGGAAACTATGGTTTCAGGATTCCCTGTGCCTCAAATCCAAAAGTCAGAGGGGCCTGTGGGTGCTTCCAATCTACCCCCAGGCATGAAAGAGGAATGGGGAGAGAGCTCAAGCTTCACCATGGCTCATTCCTGTACCAGGAAACCCTATTTTCCCATGAGGTCTGAAGAGGGGGAGGGACTGCCGCTCAGCGGGGAAGCAAAGGTACTGGAAGCAAAAGGCCTTAGGCTTAATTCCTAGTACCTCCAAGCAGGGTGATGCAAGTCTCCTGTCTGAAACTCTGGGGAGCTGTTGCAGTTAATGTAAACAATAGTATTATGTTAGGGTCTTAACAGTCATACCACACGACCCCTTGTAAATTTACTTTCCAAGTTTCAACTAGGTGTCTATGTTACCCTGCTCAGAAAGGAAATGAAAAGCCCTCCTAACAAAATGGGTTGGGAGGGGAGGGGAGGAAGCAAAGCTGATCTTTTTCACCTGTATTCCCTGGTCCTCAAGGAGTAGAGCTTGAAGGCGCAGCCCAAGGCGATCACCAGCAGCAGCCCGCAGACCAGGCTCCCGATGAGAGCCGCCGTGATGACCTTCCTGGGCACGATCACCAGGCAGTTGTGTTCATCGCTCCCATCCTGGCAATCCTCCTGCCCATCGCAGCGCCACGTCTCAAAGATGCACAGGTTGGTGCCACAGTGGAAGTTGCCCGGCTGACAGGTGAAGCAGTTCTTCTCGTCCGAGCCATCCGGGCAGTTCTTCTGGTTGTTGCAGCGGTCGAGCAGCGAGTAGCACAGCCCGCTGTTCCCCTCGCACGGGTACTCGTTCTTCTGGCAGGCTGGGCAGCTCTCCTCGTCCTTGCCGTTGGGGCAGTGCCACCAGCCGTCACAGCGCTGCCTGTCGGTGTAGCACCCCTCGTCATTGCCGCACGGGTGCTCCCAAGGGAGGCAGTAGCCCTTCACCTGGTAGGTGGCGTTGAACCCGTGCCCGGTGCTCTTGGACCAGGCATGGTATGATATGGTCAGCTGCCCCTTGGAGGACTCCAGGCTCACCGAGTGCCTGTTGTTGCGATAGGAAAGGGTCTGCATGAGCTTGTCGCCTCTCTCCTCCAGCCCATCGTACACCTTCACGTAGTCATTGTAGCCGAGCTGCAGGTCAAGCTGCAGGAGAACGTGGCGGTTGTCCTGGGTGTCCACATGCCACGTGCAGAGGAGGTCCGCCTGGCTGTGGTCCGAGCGGAAGAAGTCGGGAGAGGCGAAAGACCCGTAAAAGTTGCCCAGCCTTTTGCCGCATGAAAGGTCGGGGCAGTTCTCTTCGTCGGAACCATCGCTGCATTCTTTAACCGTATTGCATTTCAGCTCGTTCAACAAGCACTTGGTGGAATGGGCTACGCTGCACTGGAAGGTTCCTGAAGGGCAGATGCTGGACTGGGGCTCGGTTGGGGGAACAGTGCAATTTTTCTCGTCTGAGTTATCGCCGCACTCATCCATGGAGTTGCATTTCCAAGTGCCGGGAATGCATTTGCCATTCAGACAGCGGAATTCATCAGACTGGCAATTAGCCTGGCCCATTTTCCCTGTGAAGTGAGAGACAAGCGTTAGGAAACTTCTCCGGGCACTTCTTGCTCCATGCTGTGCCTGAAACATGAATCCAGCATGGAGGACAATCAAGCTTTGGAAGCAGCAGCTCTTGAGGACTCTGAAATATTATTATGCCAACACAAGTATAAAATTCTCTCTCGCCAAGGACAAACTTCCCCACCAGCTGCACACCATCTCTCCCCCACAACTCACCTGGGTTTTCAGTAGCTCCACTGCAATGGCATGACTTCAGAAGGAGGAGATGCCCTTTCCAAAGGGATGGAAGGGGATTCCCTCCCCCTGCTTTTCCTCTCCATAGCAGCTTCATTGTCATGGAATGTCATCTGCCTGCCTGCCTGCCTGTGCACCTGCCTTTGGGTCTAAGTGTGTGGGTTTGTGTACATGCACATGCGCACACCTGAGACTGGCTGTCTGTTGGCCACCTTGGCCACCCCTACCTCTATCCCGATTCTGAAAAAAGAACTAACCACCACTAGCTGTGATTTCCACCACCATTTGGGGGGGGGGGGCAGCTGTAGTATGGAGGGAAGATTACTTCTTACTGACCTTTCTGCCCCATCCAGAAAGCCCCCAAATACCTGGGATTGGGGTGCTGTGAAAAGTTTTCAAGTAGGCTCCCCGTCCCAGTTAAGGTTCAAAGACAAAAACCTGAGAGAACAGAAGACTGTAGGCAAACAAAAAAGGGTATCCTAGATGGGAAAAGCAGGTCTGGGAGAAGCTAAAGCTGTTTTACAAAGGCAAGAGGGGAGGAGAGAGGAGGCCCTTTTTTCTTACAGGAGCAATGTGGAAGGAGGACAAATGACTCTCAAATTAGGGGAGCAAAAAAGAGCCGGGATTCGAAAGATCTCAGATTTAAAGTGCCAGCAGTTCTAACTTCCCCTTGCAAAGGCAGAACTAGATCACACTCTCTCCTTTCTTCTCTCCAATAAAGAGTGTGTGTGAAGGGGGGGAAGAGTCTCTTGCCAAAAGTATGGCTGTTTCTGTAAAGAGACTCAGAGAAGTGCTTCTGAGTGCCGTGCAATTAAGGCAAATGAGAATCCTTCTTACAACTACAGGCTCTGGCTCATTTGCCACAGGGTATCTGTAGAGGGAGAATTTCTGAGGCTTCAGCTGCTTTCAAGAGCTCCCTTCCAGCATACAAATGCTAGAAGCCCAGAGCGATTGCTCCTAGCACTGGAAATCACAAGAGCCTTGTTGCCACTTAGGACAAGTCCCCCACGGAATGCCAAGAGAACATATCACATCAGGGTTATTTTCAACAGGAGAGGCAGTTATGTGGAAGAGGGAGGAGGATTTGCAAAGCTTTTTTGGGTGGGGTGCCATGTGCAGTGTAATCTTATTTTCCCCTCTTTTTGCTGTTGCAGAAAAATGGCTGGTGCCCCCATTGAGCCCTGCCCCTTTTGCTTCCTTGCCTGTACACACACTTTCCTTCCAGGTGGGGCTCTCCCTCCTGGTACTGGAGGCAGGTGGTTGAAAAGCACAGAGAGCGAAAAAACTTCAGGCAGGGGGAGAACTCAGCCTCTGTCACTTGCAAGACTCTGGTTCTTTAAAAATCCCACTTGTACCTAAAGGTGCAAGTCTGTCACCATTAGAAGCAGACTGGAGGTGCTTTTATTTATTTGATCCCTATTTTGTGGTGAAATCAAAGCAGCGTACAATGGAAATATAAACTCCCAAGAAAATCAAAAACGAAACAAAGAATAAAACAAACAGCAGCAAAGCTGCATCATGAAGCCGAATAATAAAAAACCACGTCAACAGGAGCATGTCCCAAGCTCAGCTGGAAAATGCCAGCTGGAGTCAAACAATCTCAAGAGCCAGTGCAAAAGAAGGCACCTCTATTGGGCTCTGCCATCATTCAGGCACCACCATGGAAAAGGCCCTCCTCCTGCCTACATCCAGAGCCAGTGTGGTACAGCAGAAAGTGTGTGAGGACTTGGGATACAAAGACCTGGGTTCAAGTCCTGACTCAGCTATAAATCGGTGACATTTGGCCACACCTCAGTCTCAGCCTAACAGAGGATAAATAGTCATAAACCTCAGATAGAAATGTTGAAAATAAGATAAATGCAAAGCAATAATCAACATAGCCATTCAAACTAGAGAGAACTTTTACCTCGGATATACGAAAGGCGAAATCCCTGAGCCTGCCCTGAACTTGATGGATCAGAGTGGAAAAATATCCAGACGTGATCCCTGGCAGAGATGAAAGGAGGTGGGATGAAGGATCCACATGCTTTGTATTCTTCTCCCTTGGCAGGAGGACCGATCATCAGCCAGTCTGTTGAACACTTGGGAGAGTCCTCCAAATCAAAGTTCTTAAAACTGACAAGAGGAGGAAAACGGGAGAAGGGAGCACAGATGAAGGGAGACTGACTTATTTTTAGAGGAATGAAGGGAGATCACCATTTTAGAGGAATGCACTAAAAAAAATGCAAGAGGGGAACATTCAAAAAATTACTGATTTCACTAAAATGTTCAATGAAGGTGTTACTTCAGAATGTCTTTGAAGGCAGGCTTTGAGACAGCATCTCATGAAAAGGAACAGCGAAAGTCAACATGACACTTTGCTGAGGGGTCACCTCTGCCAGGTTGGAACACCAACTCTCCTCCTCCTAGTGGTGCAGCAATAAAACTGCTAGCACATTTACAAAAGTTGCCTTTAGGATGCAGGCCAGTCAATTAAAATGGCTCCCATCAATTAATCAACTAAAACTGTTCTTGATTAATCAGTCAATAACATCTTGATTAAAGCTTCCAGCGCTAAATCAAGCATTTGGAAATCAGCAAATGCTGGAAATCTAATTTGCCTCCCCTGCTAGCAAATACGTTGGAAGTCCAGCGCAAATAATTATGGCTGCCAACAGCAAAGCAACCATAGCATCCAATTAAAACAAGAGAAGCCACGATTGTTTGTGACTTTCTCTAAATAAGGGCAGGCTGTGAACACAGCTGAAGCCTTAATTGGCTCATTAAAAACATTCTGCCCAACTCCTTAGAACAAGGAGGTGGGAAGTTAGAGAGCCTCGGTTGTATTTCCTCCTCAGTTGCTGGCATGATGTATTACCCAATGTCAGGCACAACAGAGCTGAATTGCAAGGCTTGGTGCATTTGTCCCTCTCCGGAAGGCCATGGGAACAGGTATCAAATGCAGGTCAGACAATGTCTTTGCCTGCTAAAGACGGGCTAGGGCACAATTCATCAGGAAGTTCTGTCTGAAGGCTCTGATGGAATGAATAAGTTGGGCACATGGCAAGATGCATTAGTATATAAAGCCCTCAGTAACTTGGGGCCAGTTTACCTAAAAGACCAACTTGCCCCACATGCCCACTCAACCACTTTGATCAGCGGAATTGGCACTACTACAGTTGCTGCATAATACTAGTTCCACATTTGTAAGAACTTGATCGTTTAGTGTGGCAGCACCCGCACTCTGAAACTCCCTGCCTATTAATATCAAGCAGGAGCCTTCACTGGGCTCTTTTCGGCATCTGCTAAAAACATCCCTGTTTATGCAAGCCTACCCAGATTTTTTAGAAAGTTGTGAATTTAAACCTGTCTTAGATTTTAACTTGTGGTAGTTTTAAACTATTCTCTGGAGCACAAGCCTAAGCAGTGTGTATGGAGGTCCTGGGCTGCCAAGATGACAATATACACCCCTCCCTACACTTTTCTCAGTTTTATCTTTTTGTAACGCGCTTTGAGGTGTGTTTTCTTTACAGTTAAGAGGTGCACAAATGTTGTGTGAAATAAAGAATAAATAAATTTGAAATGAAATTGCAAAAGAAGTTTGCGGCAGGGAGGAAAACCCATAGCTCAATGGAGGAAGATAATCTGTGCCTGCAGGCAGTCCTAGGTTCAATCCTGGCAACTCCAGCTAAGAGTCAGGTAGCAGGTGACATGAAAGAAGTCTGACAACTTCTGAGCATCAGAAGAGCCCCGTAGCTGGATCAGGACACAGGACGCAGTCTAGCATCCTGTTCCCACAGTGGCCAGCCAGATGCCCTAATGGGAAGAAGCCCATAAGCTGAGCACAAGAACACTTCCTTCCTCATGTTCCCTAGCAATGGATGTGCAAAGGCATTCCTGCTTCTGACCCTGGAGGTCTGAGCAGGTACTGGACAGTTTCCTGTATTATCTAAGATAACACCTGTCTTGCTTTTGTGATAATGTGTGTTTTTTAAAATAAAAAAAACCGAGTAAAATTTCTACTATCTGCTGTCTGCTGAACCATTCTAAAATGATATCAAATATATTTCAAATAATTTAATGATTAATCACTTTAAACATTTAAGAGCTCAGTGGTAGTGCCCAAGACCAGGTGTCTTCAATTATTTGATTTGGATCATTCCCTGTCCCCCACCCCATTTTTAAAGTTGTAATAAGGAACTGCTAGTCTCGTTTGGAAGCAGCTTGTTCAAGAGGGCATTTGATCTCCCTCCAGTTTAATGTTGAGCTCTGAGGTGATGTGATGTTAAAGATTTAATGTGTGGAGTTAATTGATGTTCTTTTTAGTTGATAAATTCAAAGCAAATTATACAATATATCTGAAGAGAAATGGTGCAAATAAGTTAATACTTCTTTCCTTCAGGAAAACAATGATTCTCCTTGTGTGCCACCATCCTACCAAGAGGCAGCAAAATTAGGTGGAAGACGGGTAGGCAGCTTACTCCCTGCAACTCCCAAGTAGCACGTAGACTGGATAGGGGCCACAGCTCAGTGTTGGAGCACCAGCTTGGCATGCAAAGTGCCAGGTTCAATCCCTGGCAGCATCTTCAGGTAGGATCAGTTGCCTCCTGCCTGAAACCCTGGAGAGCCATTGCTGCCAGTCAGTGTTGGCAATACTCAGCCTAGCCTAGATCCCTGCCTATTGTGAGGCTAAAAATGGCTTTTTCACCACCACGGATAACGTGAAGAATAAAGTTCCTTCAGACCAAGCTTATGTTGGGCAACTGGTCTGGATCTGAGAATTTATTTCAGCAAAGGTAGACAATTAAAACATTTTCACTAGTAGTACCTAATAGTTATCACATCTCCTCGATCACCTTGAATGTACCAGCTGCAGTTGGTGGCCGGAGGATAGTGGAGTGGCCAGGAATGGCTGTAGATGACCCCACGCCGCTCAGTATGCTGTTCCAGTTTTCCACTGCAAGCAGCTGTCAAAAGCCACAACGAAATGTTAAATGTTAAACACATGTTTTTTGCCACAACAGCTTTCCCTGGTCTCTAAAAGTTATTGTCATAGATATTTCCATTACCCTTTCCTGCTCCTTCTGCTTTGCTAAACTATCTGGTCTTCTGGCTTAAATTCAGTTCAACGGGCATCTCCTGGGAGAACATCAATAGCCCTAAATGAGCCTGGCAAAAGGGATTTGATAAGGAATGCTGAACAGATTTGCCCAAAAAGAAAAAGGGAACAAACCAACCAGCAACCACAGGAAATCCATGCCCAAAGCCAAGTAAATAATACATCATTTTCAAGACCTATTGTCCTGAAAATGCTTGGTTTTCCTCCTCTCCCAAACAGTCACATCTTTACCTGTGTGGAGCAGCATGGGGGAAATGGCTTCATGGGACAAATTGGGATCCATGCTGGTCCTGCTTAAGCCTATGGGCCTGAGATCATCCACCACTGGTATAAAGGATTGCAGCCACAACCGCTGCTGCTGCTTTCAACACAACATAATCTCCAAAAAATAAAACAACTCCTGCTGTACTAGAGAATTTGTCCATTCTGGAAGCTCATTTTTTATTGCACTTCCATCCGCCCTTTCTAACTGCAGCAAATACATCTCCCCCACCATCTTATCCTCGTAATAAACCTGTTATGAAATACATGAGACTGAGAAAGAATGAATGGCCCAAGGCAAGGAGAGATTTGAAGCTGGGACGGTCCTGGTCCAGTGCTGCCTAATCACTACACGTGTCTCTCCAATGCTGTCATATTTTTTTCCCTACTCTCACATTCCCCTCCTTCCTGCTCCCACTAACACTCAAGCCAATAAATGCACAGTGTAAAGTGAGAGTGTCCATCTATCTACAATGAAAATAAGGTTTTGGGATAGTCTGGGCAACATTTACTGCATATAAATTGGTCCAGAATGACAGTAATTAATTTAGATAAATTTCTCTCCTTTACTGTGGCATAGAAACCAACATGATAAATGTGCCATTCACAATCTGGATTTGCTGCGTGAATTTTTTTGAGGATGATGTGGGAAGATCTGGACTAGTCTTTCAGCCTAAAGTATCTCTATAGTATCAGAGAGCATTTACATTGTTTTAAAATTATTCTTAAAAGAGACCCTTTTCTCAAAATGATTCTTTACAGGAAGTGTTTTCTATCAGTAGGAAAATGAAGCTCAAATGCTAATAGAAAACAGAGGTATCTTACCTAATGAAGTGACAGCACTTTCAATTTTCCCAGACAAGAAGAGGTTGACTGTTTTCAAAACAGAAAAAAATATTTTTTTAAAATTTGCTACAGATTACAGTGGAGGCAATAAGTAATTAACAAAATTATAAATGGAAAAACACATTCAGAGAAGGTATGTTCTTCCAACAAACACCAGAGTTAGCTTATAGCTCAGTCAGAGTCTTCATTTTCTTCACGATGGCTTGTGTGTATAATATTTAAGGTATGAGAGAACCTAATTGTTTTCTTTTTCTTTTTCTTTTATAGAACAGGAAAAATGGCACAGAAGCTGTTGTTGTTATAAAATTAAATTTGTATACCGTCCTATACCTGCAGGTCTCAGGGCAGCTCACAGGATAAAATTGCAATATAAAAGCACAAAATATATAATCAAAATCAAAACCAAATAACCCCGCCTCCAGCTGCAATCCTAATCACATATAGTAGGCAGCAAGCGTCACTGGACACAGTCAGATTTTCTTCTGAACAAAAATACCCAAGATCATGCTGTAGATGTTTATAACATCTAGGGGATCAGCTGAATATAGGGAAAGTGTCACAGCTCAAGTGCTATGAGGTGTGGGCTGGGTCGTTTCTGCAGCAAACACATACACAAGTAATTAGCCATCTGAGCCACTGTTCTCTCAGCTGAACCCTCCACCTGTAATAGTGAGATACTAGTACTGATCTACTTTATACAACTATTTGAAAGTTCACTGGTATCACATATGTGCAGTGCTCTGAAAAAGAAAGTGTTGCATAAACGCTGAGCATTAGTAGAGAATATGAGCTGTATCCAATGCTGGCTGTACTCAGAGTAGACCAACTGAAATGAACATAGGTCCATCAATATCAATGGGTCTACTTTCAGCAAAAATCATTCAGATACAACACCATCAATACATTCTTTCTAGTCTCGGACCGAAGCAGCTGAAGTTAGAGTGTCTTGTTCAACCCAAGAAAGACAATATCATCTGTGGTAGACAGCAGATCAGTATTACAGGAAGAGTTTGATGCTACTCATAGGCCATGCAGCTACTCTCTGCCCTTGCGCCTCTATCCAAAAGTTTCACATTTTGCAGAAACATCCACAATTATATCCACAACAGACTGACTGTAGACATCACATTGATGCAAATAACTGGGCTGTGGATTATCACTGAGGTATCTTTTTTTTCTTCTTGTTACAAAACGTTCTGCTATCCCGGCCGCTGACCACTAGGGTAATGCAAGGACAGTAAATGTGGTTGGTGCTTTTTAAAGTGATTGCTCTGAAGTATCAACAGTTGGGTTTTACAAGGGGGGTGGGTGGAGAGACAAGAAGGGAACCTGACAAATATCCTGTCCCATCTAACAAAAGAAATGGCGGCAGGGAGGGACTGAAGTTGTAGAATTGCCTGGAGACCAGGTAGAAAAGCAGATGAAGATGAAGACAGCTTCACTTTACTGCTCCCTGCATCTTTATGAACCACCAGAATATTATTTTATTACACATTTAATGCACAGGCTGAGCCTGAATAATTATTCCACTAGTTTCACAGCTTATGCTGATTTCTGGGGTCAATAAACCTCAGGGGCCAGGAGGCCACTCCATGTGAGAGACCCACCTCATTCTTAGATACTGCAGTCTAACTGGATCTGCCATTTTTGCTCAGGCCTTCTCTCCTCCTGACACCTGGTTCATGGTGATTGATCATGGTTTGAAAGCAAGTCTTGCTTAGATTGAACAAACTATGATCAGAACGAACCACGAAAGAGAAGCTACGCATGAGAGGAGGAGGAAGAATGGAGACTTTGATGCCTGAACTGAGCAGGCTGACTTAATTTCAAATTTCCAATGGGAGGGAGGACGGGGGGGGGGGGGGATGACAGAAGTAGAACAGCACTCTGTGTTTCATGTAATAAAAATAAATCACAACTAAAGCTCTAGGCAAAGCCCATTTCAAAGGTGAGGTAGGGAAGAATAAAGACTAATCCCTAGAAGGAGGGAGTTCCACGACTGTGGAGCCTGCCACAGCAATGACTCTATCGCCCGTCAACTTAAAAACATGTTAGTGGGATTCCCAGCTTGTGGGTGGACAGCCACCTGAACAGTCTTAAGCAGAAGGCCTCCCCCACTTCAAGATAGTTATGCCTATGTTGTTGGTTTTTGGTTAGCAGATAGATGTCTCAGAAATCTCAATTTCTACTTTGAATAAAGGAAGTCAGCTTGCCAAGGACAGCAGTTATGAAGAAATATCCAGAGAGGCCTCTTCCGTTTACGAAAACAGCTGTAATAGTGGAAATTCTTGATCTAATACCATGGAACAGGCAGGGTGTTTCACATCCTTTATTCCGAGGACTGACAGACCAGAGAATACTGTACATGCCCTTCGTTTTCAAAAAAGCAAATCCACATTACGGAACTCCACACACTAGTTAGTTCTGCCTTACACTTCTAAAGCTGTGAGCTGCATTATTCAAGGCAGCTTACAGCAATCAAACATCACAACACCAAAATAGAACAATCTCAGACAAAACGTAACAGAGGATGGCATAGCAAGCAAAACAGTGTCTTCAGGAAAAAAACCAAACATGATTTGCCTGGCAAGGCAAAAAGCTTGCCAGAAATTTTGTTTTGTTTTTTAAAGTATTTACCAGCTGGCAGAAAACAATCGGGGGGGGGGTTCAAGCACCTGAGTTCCATGGGGCAAGATGCTCCATATTATTGGTGCAGCCCCCAAGAAGGCCCCATCTCTTGTCTCAACAAACTACACTTTCATCATAGGTGAGACACAAAGAAAGACCTCTCTCCACTTGATCATAATGAATGGGCAGGCTGGCACAGGAGGTAGTGGTCCCTCAGGTACCCTGGGCCCAAGCCATTTAGGTCTTCACCTTCAAGTGTCATCACCAAGATGCTGAATTCTGCCTGGAAACAAACTGAAGACTGAAACACGACTGGTGTAATATGGTCCCACTGACTGACCCCTTTGCTGAGCCTTCTGGACAAACTGATGTTTCCAAATACACTTCAAAGGTTGCTCTATGTAGAACACAAATAATCCAATCTAGATATGACTAAGGTGTGTGCTACTCTGGCCAGGTCTCACGTTGCAATAGAGTCAGGATTTTCAAACTTCTGCTTATGCTAGAGCTTCCCTCTTGCAAACCATGTCTGTCAGCAGGCAGTCTGCATATCCCAGGCATCAGACTCCTTTCAAACGGCTTTTTACATTCAGCCCATCTTCTTTCAGGTATCAGCTCTTTGTTAACTTTTCTAGCTCTTCTACCTCACCCCAAATCTCAGCACTGCTCTTGGGGGGGGGTGTTTAGTCCTCCTTTACCAACAGAAAAGCAGGAGGCATAAAATGATTAGGTGACTCTAATTACCCAGGAGTAAGATTTATCGATTTATTTCATCCTAATGCATCTTTATCTTGGAGGAATAAGAGGATGAAATAAGAGTTGGGAACTTGCTACTTGAATGCCTTTGCTTAAAGACATGGGGGTCGTGCAAAACTGGTATCAAAGACTGCTCATACACTCTATCTGCATTTAGCAAGTTAAAACCTGCTGCAAAAGTGAACAGTGAAAGATTGCTGTAGACAGGAAGGAAAGCGAGAGGCTGAACACAGGGAAAGCAGCAACAAATCAAATTTTTCATCCTGACAATACTGAACAACTATGATCTGGATGAGAATGCTCACTGGCTAAATGCCACCTATTCCATCTTGCATGGATGAGGAGCTCCTTGCCAAATGCAGAGACCAGCATAAGGATGCATCCATACCAAATCTGGTCAAATGTTCAGAGCCGTGTCGAAGCAAAAATATCTGTCAACGCAGTGGCTTCTCGTAAAGAACAGCAGAGAAAATATACTCTGTACAGAAACTCTGCATGTGGCAAGCTGTGCCCATTAAGATTCACAGTTCAAATGTACAGCATTGCAGAGTTCAGATACATTCAAGAGCCCAGGGGCACAAGAAGAGCAGGGTTTGTACAGTTTCTCATAAGCATGGGAGCCAGAAACCTTATTTTTAGGTTCTTGCATCTACCACCAAATTTTGTTTGTGAAAAACGGCAGATTGTTCAATTCCCTTGCCCCTCCCCCAGTGAAAAAAAATCACATTCTAAACCACAGTTAATGTGTCTAATCAAAAGTAAGTCTCACTGGGTTCAATGGGGCTCACTCCCAGTAACCGGGCATAAGACTGCAGCTACATTATAGTTGCATTATCCCTTCTGATGCCTTTATAAAGAACTCCCTCCTGTAAACTAGTAAACCATTTCTATCCTGAAATAATTTCCCATACATATGAAAAACAAGTATTGCTCCTATGTGTCATTAATCTTTGCAAATGATATTGGTGTTTATGCAAAAAAAAAACCCGTTCACAACCCTAGCAGCAATCTTCCTCTCCTCTCCTCCCACCCTCTCAACACAGGGGTGGAATCCATTAACATGTTAACAGCAACAAATCAAAGAAGGCTGTCAGAACAAACTGCACTAACTTGTTTGTAAAATGGAAGTGAGCCACCAACACCACTCCGGGCTTGCCTTTCTGACTACTGTACAGGCTAGCAACTTTGCAAAAAAACCGAAAAGAAAAAAGAAAACCTTGCTGCCTCTAGGTACAGAGACAGAGACAGGAAAAATGATCCACAAGAACCACAGGGTCCAAAGAACTTATGTCCTTAATGCAACCACAGGCCACGGTTTTACCGAGCATTTCCATGCAGAGCATAACCTGAGTGCAGGGAGAGAAAAAGTGCACTCCCATGAGCAAACAGAGCTGATGTCACTTCATTCTGCAGTGCTATCGCATGAAGGAAAACTCCCAAGTCGGGGCTGGGGCCCTACATGCCAGTATGTGTGTGTCCCGGCTGGGCTTAGGTATATACTTTCGAGCAAGTTGGATCAAACGGCCTGCACCCCAACACATTTCTCTCCATGTGCTGCCAGGTGTGTAAGAGAGCAGCCTCGCGGGCAGTTCTTGCCTGCGGATCGCCCTCTCTTTACAGAGCCTCTCCCGCTGCCACCAGCGGGCATCCTTATGGGGAGGGGGAGGATGCACAGGCCACAACTCGGCACCTGGCTTTGCCTGCAGAAGGCCCCCCGGTTCAGTCCCCGCCGGCAGCACCTGCAGGGACGGGGGGCTGGTAGGAATGGCCTTATGCTGCTGTCCGTCGGTGCAGGAGACAGGGAGCTGGATGGGTGAGGGAAATCAGCCAGAGGTAGGGTGGACTGGGGTCTCCAACCGGGGGCCCCCGGAGCAGCTGCCCACCTGCTTGCTCCAGATGGCGGCGGGCCAGGAGGATGCTCTGCTCTCTCCCGCCACACCAGCGGAGGAGCATCTCCGCCGGGCCTCTGGCGCCCTGGTCCCTCACCTGGCCGCCCCTCAGCAGAAACACAGCCAACGCCACCTTCTCCCGCATCCCGCCTGGAGCCACAATAACGGCAGCAGCGACGGCGCTTCCTTTCCTCCCCGCCGTAACGGCTCCGTCCCGCCCGGCCCGGACTCACCCAGGCAGAGGGCAGCCAGCGGCCCCAGCGCGCCGGGCGCCCGGAGCTCCACGGACGACGACGAGGAGGAGGAGGAGGGCGCCGCGTCCATGGCGGCGGGTCTCTCCGCCCGGGGAGGTGCGCTGAGCCTCCGGCCGCCGCCGCTTCGCCCCCTCACAGCGCCGCCGCCGCCGCCGAGCTCGGGGAGGAGGATGAGGCGGCGTTTGCCCCGAGCGACGGCGGCGGCAGCGGCGGTGGCTGCGAGGGAGCATCCCGCCGTCGCCTCTCCATGGCCTCCTCGCTTGGGCAGCTCGTCCCGCAGCGGCTGCGAGGAAGCGGGCAGGAGGAGGAGGAGAGGACGCCGCCGCCGCCGCCGTTTTCCGAGGCCCAGCCCCGCGTGACGCGCCGGCTCTGAGGGGCAGGCGGAGGGCAGGGCCGCCCTGGGCGGGAAGGAAGGGGGAGCGCAGAGGAGCGCCAGGCCTGGCAGGGCCGCCTCCTCCTCCGCTCCGCCACGAGGGGCTCCGCCGCCGCCGCCGCCGCCGCCGCCTTCTTCCCCCAGCAACCGCCGCCTGTGAGGGGAAGGGCCGGGAGGGATGAAGACCCCCAGCGCTTGCTCTTGTTTTAAAGTCGGGGCTCACTCGAGGGCTTGCGAGGTCATGTTTTTAGTATTAAAGAAAGAGAGAAGTTGCCTCTGAGCATGGACGAAGTTTCCCTCCTGCCTCGCTTCGTGAGGGTCCCAGCCAGTCCCCCTCGTTGCATCGCTTTGGGAATGGGGCTCCCTGACTGACCCCCATGTAGCAAGAAAAGTGAATTCTTTGGGCTCCTCGCATCCCTAATATAACTTGGCTTCGTTTTTAATGCTGTGACGTCATTACTTCAAAGTACGGGTTGTGGTGCGTTTCTTTTTTTTAGTAGCTCAATAAATCACTCCACTGAAATCTACCCATTTCCTACTCTAACTAGCCAAATCTCTATAAAGATTTTATAGCCCCATGATGGTAAACATGTAGCTGATTGGGTTTTTGAACAGTCGTTTTAAATTATGATCCATAGCAGCGGGGAAAGCTACAAATTCGCAGTAATAGATAGGTTATTTAGCTTTATTTTCCCCTTTCTCTTTTCAAAAACAATCTTCTTTAAGAGAAATTGTTCACCATGCACTGAAGCTCACTTAAAAACACCACTGAAGTATTGTGATCGTTCGTATATTGATTTTAGCCGGATCAATTCATGCTGCTGAATTATGTATGAGGCAAAAACATTTATGACCTGATAATTTCTCACACTGTCGTCTGCTGTGGTTCATGTGAGGTCGGCTGCCAAGAACGTAAGAACATTAAGGTTGCCTGGCTGGAACAAACCAAGATCTGTCTGATCCAGCATCCCATTTCCAGATAACCAGACAGGAACCTCTGGAGATGAAGATGATGCCCTTCTCTTGGCTCTTTGCCATGGCTTGTGGCGCTGCTAAGACGTGGGACTTAAGGTGGTGGAGAGAGCATAAAATAACGCAAGAGCCCTGTTGGATCAGGCCAAAGGGGGCACATCAAGTCCAGCATCCTGTTCTCACAGTGACGGTCCAGATACCCAAAAGGGAAACCCGCAAGCAGGACCTGAGTTCAATAGCAGCAACTCTCCTTACCTGTGATTCCCAGCAACTGTCATTCAGAAGCATTTACTGCCTCCACAGTGGAGACAGAAATGCGGCCAGTGTGGCTAGTAGCCATTAATAGTCTTAACCTCCATGACTTTGGTGACCATCACTAAATCTTGTGGGAGAGAAATCCACAATTTAGCTATGTGCTGTCCTGAAACTTCCAACATTCACTGTCTGGCCCTCAGTTCCTATATTATGAGAAAGGAAGGAAAGCTGCTCTCTGTCCACATTCTTTGCACCATGCATAATTTTATATGCTTCTGTCATATACCCTAATATTTTCCTTTTCTCTAAACTAAAAAGCCCCAAATGTGAGAACTATTCTCCTTAGTAGGCAAGTTGCAGCTAATCCTTAATAATTTGGGATGCCCTTTTCCAGCTCTGCAGTATTAGCTGGGAACAACTGGAGTGTGTAGGGTAGGCATGTCCAAAGTCTGCTTCGGGGGCCAATCTGGCCCGCCAGTTGGTTTAAAAAACCTCAACTTCAATCCTAAAAAAAGGTTAACAACTTTGGTCGGCCCTCACGGCCCTTCACGTCATCAAATCTGGCCCTCTTTGAAAAAAGTTTGGACACCACTGATGTAGGGAAAGACTGGTGCACATTGAAAGTGCATTTTACTCCCCTTTGCTCTGGGAACGCACTCTTACTTCTGTGCCATTGTTTTGTCTCAGTGCTATGTGTAAATTGGGCCACTGTAGAACAATTACATTTTTCAAGGCTCACTTTAAACAAATGAAACATTACCCATTTTGGCTTTTAAATCAGTAGAGGACAGGCTGTTGCAAAGTAAACACAAATACAGCACCCAGGCATAAATTGTGAAAACGACTTCAACGACATGTAAAACTGAAGTTTCGCAAAATGATTCTTTGGTAGGAGAGCAGATTTTGCAACAAGCATGTCCTTCTTTTGAGCTAGGAAATGCTGGAGGCTATGGACTTGTTTTTATATGCCAAACCCATTGTATGCCAATGATTCCTGAGATGCAGACTTAATTATCCATCAAGAAGAGAAATTGTGTCAAAGTTTGCAGAAGTCCTAAGACTGTTATTGCACTTTAAAAAAAAACCCTCATAAATCCCAGGGAAATGAATTCAATAAAAGAGGTGTAAACTGGGATTAACGAAAAAGAAATATAGTGGAATTTGAAGGGGAGGATCTAATGACACTGCGGAGTCAGACAAGCAATATGTGCCTGTGCATGATAAGAATCAGCCTTAAATTACTGCCATAATCCCCAATTCCTTTTGCCTCAGCACCATTCTATTTCGCTTTCTTTTACTGCATGTGTTGCAGAAATTGTGCTCATGAGGGTTTGTACATAAAACTACCTTATGAGGGTTTGTACATAAAACTACCCATCTACCTTATTGGTCCAGCTGGCCCTCACTGAGGGTTTATGCAAAGAGAGGATGGGGTGATTCTTCTAGTGGTGACTGATCTGTTGGTAGTTTTCCACTTCCCATGATAAGAGCCTGAAAGCTGTAGGTTGCTCTGCCATCCACTAGCCCAGAAATTCGCAGCAGTAGTACCTTAAAGTTGGAGCCTCCTTGGGTGATGCTTTCCCTACATGCAGAGTGGATGCTTACAGCAGGCTCCCTGACAAATTGTGAATATATGATAATGAGCTGTTAGTAGCAGCATCTTGTTCCTGCAAGATGAACAACTGCGGTGGATTCCTTTGCATACAACAGCTACACCACCACCATCAATTGTGAAATAAATCAGGGTTAAACGTTGCCATTAACGACTTCGTTTCTCTCTAATGCTTTAATTATCTGTGCATGGTACAAGTGACAGGAAGAACATTGTGGTAATTCACATTTAGCAGTTTCAACAAGGGGGCTTGTTTTTGAGTAAAAGTAAAGAAACAAACAATGGATGGTGGGTTGGTAAATAGCATGTCAGTGATTCAGTGCTACCACTAATGTTTGGGCCAAAGGTCTCTTATTCTGTGTTTTGTCCTAAATAATTGGTCTTCAGAAGATAATGCCACGTGTGCTTTTTATTTGAAAGCGCTGGAGATTAGCCCAAGTCCCCACAACAGGCAACAGCGCCTCTGAATTGACACTGTTCTTGCACTTAGCAATTTATCATTCCAACCCATCCAGACTGCAAGAGGCAATTCCTAAATCTGCAAGACTGTTCCTTCTCATGAACTATTCTGGTTATTCCACTGCAGGTTTTATTTTATACAAGGGCTCATTGGCCTTTGTTTTCAGTGCTTTTAAGGTTTGACTCTGGAAGATATTAAGTAAAAATAAGTGAAAGCCCTCTTGAGCCGGTACAGAGGGCATTGTACAGAGGGTTGTATCCAAAGCTATTCATACTCATGGTAAATCCACTTGAATTAATGGACATGACAAACACAAGTCCATTAATTTCAGTGGGGCTAATCTGAGCATAATTTAGCTGCATACAATGCAGAGTCTCCATAGAGCAGGAATCAAGGAGACGAGCTACTGGATCAGCTGGTGTTTCTAGACAGGCTAGTGGAGACTGAGCCCCACAATCCCTTTTGCTTGAAATTAAGCAATGTTCCACCACCTAGCCAAGCATTTTATATTGTGGCAGGCCTGCTTTATATTAGCAATTACTTTAGAGCAATTGTTTAGAAAAAAATTCATTTCTCCCTTGAAAGGTTTCAGTAGCCTTCGCTAATTGTTACCAAGGCAGCACAAATCAATCTCGTTAAACTCCTTGTAGAAAGTGCATATTGTTAAGATTATCAATATATATTTGCAGGCCCGTTTAGATTTCCCAGCTCCCCTAAGATCACAGTTGGATAACCATGATGGGCTGCATACACACCATACATTTAAAGCACATGCCTATCAAAAAAAGAATCCCGGAACAATAGTTTACCCACTCACAGAGCTACAATTTCCCTCCCCCTTAACAAACTACAATTCTCAGGATTCTTTTCTGGGGGTGGGGAGTGAAATGTGCTTTGAATATATGTTGTGTACACAACCATCATTTACTGCAGAGCATGTTGAGTTACTTGACATCTCAAACCTAAAAATTTACTTGGAAGAAAGAGCAGAACTACACATCACTGGTGGCTGCTGCCCAAGGCCTTGAAATAATAAAACAAATACTTCCAAAGCTACAATAAAGCATCAGAAGACAGAGTCCAGTAAGAATCAACCAATCAATCTAAAATTCAGAACAGATATAATGTTGCGAGATTGGACAGGAAAGCATTAATTCAGACAGAAGTACTTTAAGCCCACCATCTACATGCATTTAACATGTGCGCATAGCAAAAAAATTTAAAAAAGAAAAAGAGGTGGGGTTCTGGGGAAAATGATGTTGGCAGTCCCACCTGTCATTGAACCCAATGGGTTTTGACTATAAGTGATTTTTTGCTTGAGACACATGCAGACTTATTGTATTCCCTCAATGGTTGCAGGAATGACTTGCTCACCATGGCAAGACAGCTTGAGCATATAACACCAATCCTGGCCTGACTGCTCTGGCTGCCAATTAGTTTAAGGGCCCAATTCAAAGTGTTGGTTTTGACCTATACAGCCTTTAACGGCTGAAGACCACAATATGTCAAGGACCACCTCTTCCCAGATGAACCATTATCGGAGTGGTTTAACCATTGACTCCTAATTTTCCAGGGAAATGTAATTATGTGAAGGAAGGGGAGGGATCTTCTGACAACTCTCAGCACCCTTAACAAACTACGTACAATTTGCAGGATCCTTTGGAGGAAGCCATGACTGTTTAAAGTGGGGTAATACTGCTTTAAATGTATAGTGCAGATGGGGCCTTAATAAGCTCATTTTAAGGTATATAAATCTTGCCCTCACATCCACTCCTTGCCCTTCAGCTCTCTGAGGAGTTCCCCAAGTGCTGCTTTCACTTCCAACCAAACAACGCAACAGCTGGAACAATAATACACAAGCATCTCCCCACTTCCCTGTCATTCCTTATTCCGACAACTGATTTATATTGTGGCTTTTATTATTACCCTGATTCAAAAGTCGTAACATGACAGTATTAAGTGATTCTGATCTACTTTAAGAGGCTGCATTTATTGTTTTCTATGCCTGCTTCCAAGCCTTTTAATAGTTAATAGAATACAGACTGTAATTTATTTTATTGCAAATCTCTCCCCACCCACCTGCAAGCCATATAAAATCTAGCCATTGCTTGTTCTTGGGGGGGGGGTGAGAGAGAGAAGGGAAATACAGGAAATATAACATGAAGCGATCCCAGTTGTGGTCCATTGAATGTACAGTAGTCAGATGAAAGCGTCATTCCACAATGTTCCATGTGATGCTAGTGATGGAAGCCATGCTTAATAGCTTGTACTATTCAATAAAAGGATGTCATGTTGCATAAAAGTTGCTGTTTTTCTTTCCAGTCTTGTTATAAGGCCATTAATTTGTCCATAAGGATGGAGTTCC